AAAGGGACCTCAACAGCAATTTTTCATCTTTTCAAAGTTCGTTAAAAGCTGCTCATTCCCGAACTGATCATTGCCGCGTGTTCTGACCGGAATGACTAGCTTTTGCCCACCACGGTGATCCTCGCCCTGGTTTGGAGAAGCAGCCTGGGTGGTCCTCCTTTTTCTTCTCCTTCTTCTTCATCTTCCTTGGTGGGCGTCTCTAATTAAGCGGAAAACCGACGGGGGGCCAAAAAAGTGGTGGCGCATGCAGGCGTCCCCCGCTATCCCCCGAGTCGCACTTTTTTTGCCCCAACCCCCGTGGGTTGACTAATTTGGTGGAATGACCTGTGAATGGGAATACCATCCGTGGTTTTTGGAAGCAGTGCCTTAAAAAGCGGTTCTTATGCATTATCGGGGGGACGGTATCAGAACGACCGAGTTTTTCTATTAGTTGAGATTTACCAAGTAATTTAATCGTAAGTATCTTAATAAATTTTTTTATCAAAATGTCAATATATATCAATCAAAAAAATCTTTAAAAAACTTGGAAAATCTAATTCGAGAATTTGGTCGGAAATCTGTCATTTAAACCTATAAAACCATTTTTTTTTTTGCAGTTTTTAGGTTCAATTTGAAAATTGTTTTGGCTTCAGAAGTAGTAAAAACAGCTTAGAAATACTTATAAAATTTCTATGGGAAAGGTCGGATAAGAATTGAATTCCAAAAAAAAAGTTGGCCGATCCTTTGATACCCCCCGATAATGCAAAAGAGCCAATTGAGTTCCCGTTCTTTTTACGCCTCCAGGAGAGCGGCATATTCGATTTAGATTCTGAATTTTCCCAACTTGGCCGAGTGACCATTGAAAAATGCGTCCCTTCCAACGAACAGTTCAACCCAGTGGTGGGAACCTCCGGAAAACGGGAGCGAGGGAGGAGCACGGCGATTCGGGCTGAACTCGCCGCGACCAGAAGCTTATCCCTCGAACGATTTTTCTGAGCAGACAGGGGCCGCTTCGAATCTTCGATGAGCATCAGGTGAGAGACGGGCCCCAAACATCGACGATCAGCTATGATTTGTGATGAGAAGTTTGGAAAATTTCTAAAACTCGCTTCCGGCTAGCTGTCGTGACGTTTAGTAACGTAAAGCTGGCCAGTCCCTTTGATCGAGTTGAGGCCAATTTTTTCTCAGTCAGCTCGAGCACGAGCACACTCACGCATTAATGGAAAAAAACGTAAATTTATCCGGAAAACCGGAAAAGTTGATTTTTAAGAGGCCAAGAAGGTAGGCTATAAAAGAACCTCGACACGCACTTTTTTCGCATTTTTTTCACTTATTCAAAAGAGCCCACCCGATTCTCGAGCTCCAGCTCTTGCTCCCCCCAGTTGATTCCAGGTTACCGTAAATCCTCCCTCCTTTCGGGCCGCGCGGAAACGAAATTCGGAGCGGATCGGAACGGGGGGGGGGGAATTAGCCGGTAGCGCCCCGGTTCCTAATAAACGCCCCCCCAGCCAATCCAGGAGCACGAGGAGCAGGAGGACGGGGAGGAGGCCATTTCTCGAATTCAGTGCCCCTGAACTGCCCTAAACTTTGCTATTATGGGCTCAATTTTCGGTTTCTAGTGACATTAATGCGTGTGGGAAACTGCCTCAAAAATCTCTATTTATTCTGTCTTCCAAATTCGTTTAAAAATCGCTAACTGCGTTGCGCGTGCGTTGCGTAGTGCAATAAATTACTGGAAATCGTCACACCGACCGCAACGCGTTCATAGGAGCCATTTCCTGCCTTCCAAGTTCCTTTAAACTCAAGTGAAATTTGAACTGCTTGAGCGTGTCGGGTGTGCGGTTTCCTAGAAACAGCTAGCTGCTGCTAGAATCCCTATACGCACGCTTCTGCCTTTCCAGTCTTTTTAAACCCCCAAAACCTCATTTTTTCAGCTTCCGCTTCTCCCCAAGCTTCAAGAAGGAAGCCAAATGCGGTTACTCGGGCCATTTGGGCTGGTTTTGGCATGCATAGGTAGGCAAAAAAATTCCGCAACTTTCCAACCTCCATTTTTTTAGTCATTTGCTCAGCAAAAGTGCTGAACCTGGACGTGGACACGGACAATCCGTACTACGATGGCAAGAAGACGGAGCTACCCATATCGGCCACACATGGTATTTAATTAAATATTTATACCGTTTTTTTGCTCTTTAGGTGTGGAGCTGATGCAGCACTGGTTGGATCAGGCATTCTCTGGACTGATGGCTGCCATAACGACGAAAAAGTGGGTTAAAAGCTTGGTAGTGTACGCCATAGTCCGCGATGGTACGGAATAATACGCTTAGTACGCCGCATCCCGCTATAGTACGCTCTCGTGCGCTTTGGTACACGATGGTATACTGTAGTACGCAACGGTACGACACGACTAAACGCTACAAGACGCTACGACGTTGTACGCTTTAGTACGTAGGAATACGTATTAGTACATTTTTATTCGAAAGTACGTAAGAGTACGTCTCAATACGCAACCGTTTCGGCTTTGGCACGCGCTTAATTACTTGAAAGTACGAGGTAATACGCTACTTTATTAGATGCCAAAATACGCTACAGTACGTGAGAATACGCTATAGTACATAAGAGTCCGCTGCGCTACGTCGCCCACAAATACCTACGCTTTAGAGTTAAATCAAGATTTCTGCTTTCGATGATTAGCAGCAAAATACAGTCTATCGTCATTGCCCGTACTTATCCGTGATTTTCGATCTATCTCCCTCTCCCTGTCACCCTTTCTCTCTCTCTCTCTCTCTCTCTCTCTCTCTCTCTCTCTCTCTCTCTCTCTCTCTCTCTCTCTCTCTCTGTCTCGCTATCTCGCATTGTCCTTTCTGACAAGTGCTAACAGTGTTCCCCTCTCTTCATAGGGTCATCTCCACCCATCCGTAAACCAATCAGTCTACCTCCCCCCTCATCCTCCTTTCGAGGTCCCCTCAATTGTGCCAATCCCCTGATTATCCCCTCCTCCCCCACAATTGTTCCAAAATGTTTCGCGCGGAATCGAGGGGGTTGCTGATCACTAATTGAACCCGAAATCGTGTCTGAGCATCAGGACATCTAGAGAGCTGGGAAAATTAGGGAATTCTAAGAAAAATTAACATAACTCGGGAGGCTGATCTTGGATCGGCTCAAGATTTTTAGGGCACATAAAAGATGGTTCGAGCAAATTTTTAAACAAATATACGGTAATAAATTTGGGAAAAATTGCCTAACTCTATCATTCGATCTCTCTTAGGCTTCAAATTTTTCAAATTCCATAGAGGGTTGTTTCGTATAAATAGACCAAGTCTTAGGCAAAAATACGGTAAAATGGGTAAGTTATAGCGCTTTTTAAAAATCAGTTGGGTAGGTAAGCGGTCAAAAACTTCGGAAAAATGTTAATAACCTTCTTATTTTTGATTTTCAATTGACCTAAACATTTTTGTGAGAGCCAAAAAACAGTTGAGCTACAGCATTCCTAACAATCGGGCAGAAAAATCGGCATAACATTCCATCCAAATTAGCTGACATTTTGAAGGTATTTGTAAAATTTTGGAAACTACCTATTCTATTAGTTTCGATAAAAAATACCGTAAGACAATCGAGATTGTCCAAATTAAGGCTGGCTCGCCTCAAGCCCGAGCTCCGACGGCGCGTCCACGAGTGCAACAAGCAGGCAAAGACCGTCGCCGAACACGCAAAATGCTCAGTGAAAGCCATTGAATTCACTGAGAATCCAGCTAACCTAATTCCGGAAACGATCGGTGGGTCAGGTTTTAGAAAACAGCAAAAATCCGCGCTTTAGGTGATAAAAAAGCACCTTACCGCTAAAAAAGATCGAAAAATCGGCGGAATTGCGTGAGGTGAAGCTGGGAAAGGTCAAGAAGATGCCAAAATCGAAGAAGCCTGACTTTGCAAAATCGATGGAAAAACGGAAAAATCGGTACTGTCTATTGTAGCCTCCCGGAATCTTTGATTTTTAGATTCTCGCACCTTGCAAAGCTGACGAAGTTGGATGCCCCGCAGCCAACAATTAGAAAAGTCAAGAAATTCCGGGGGAAATCGAGCGAATTGCGGGAGAAGCGGAAGAGAAAGTACGGTAGCAGAAAGGCTGGATTTAATTGAATGAACCTTCGCATCAATAAAATAGCCATTAAGTTAAAGCGGGAAAATTTGAAGCTAAAAACGATGATTTTCAGGAAGAGTTCGAGGCGTAACTCCACTTCCGGTTCTGCGGAGAAACAGCGAAAGAGGAGGCGAAGGGTGCGCAGAGAGGTCGAGGAGGATGATGGACTTGAGGTAGCTTTCTTAAAATTAAAAATTAATGGCTTTTACGAGAGAGAGAGAGAGAGAGAGAGAGAGAGAGAGAGAGAGCGAGAAAAGGAGGAGTACTTTTTTAAAGGAATCTGAACATTATGAACCACAATTTTTTAGGAATTTTATGCGCATCACCGTATCGAGCACCACGACGATTTTCACGCGTCGCTTACACGGGCAAAGAGAGCAATCCACAATCGGGTATCGTTTCTAATTTCTAATTTCTAATCGTTTCTGGCATTTTTAAAGGGGCAGGTAAGGCAAGGCTACTTCCATAGGGTGCTGGAATAAGACCGCTGCGCGACGTCAAAACTACGTCTGCGTTGCGTATCGTGCGCGTCCAGAAACATGGAATTCATAGCAAAAAAATCGATCGCCTTGCCTTGCCAGCCCCTTTAAGGCCATTTTATAGGCACTTTCAGGCACTATTTGAATTTTTAAAGGGAGGCTGCAGTCGGTAAAAGTCAATTTTGGTGTTATTTAGGCATCCTACGACCTCTCGCACAGCTCGGACCGCACCCCAATCGGCATCATCTCCAGGCACATCGCCACCACCATCCGGCACCTCAAAGGGAAACAGGATTCCGACCCGAAAAAGTATCTTCATAGCTTTAAGCCGGAATTTTCGATTCAGTTGGAAAACCGTCCTTTCCGAGATCACGGAAAAGGCGCGGGAGTTGAAGACGAGGGAACGGATGCGGAAGATGCTGAAGAAGAGGGCCGAATTCTATCAGAAGGCCGAGAAGGAGGGAGATGAGATGGATATTGATGGGAGGAGGGCGTTGGCAATGCCGGTAAGTTTGGGTTAGCGGCTCTATGACTATCACTCGCAGTCGCTCACTCTCTCTCACTCTCTCTCTCTCTTTCTCTCTCTCACTGGCACGCTGTCAATCTCTTTTTCGCTCTTTGGCGATGTCTTTCTCACTGTTTGTCGAAGTCTCTCTATCTCCCTGTCTCTGACATTCTATCCTTGTCTCTCACTCTCGATCTCCCTCGCTATCTCTCTCTCTCTCTCTCTCTCTCTCTCTCTCTCTTTCTCCCTCTCTCTCTTTCTCCCTCTCTCGTTGGAGTCTATGAAGCTGTCCTGTCACACCCCCTTTCAAGGAACTTGATGCTCTCGACGAGAAATGGGAGAAGGAGGAGATGCTCGAAATGGCCAGGGACAAAATGAAGAATATGACCGAGGAGCAGAAGGCCATGGTCGGCCCCATGCATCTCGTTCGGCAAGGTAGAGCCTGTAGTTTCGAGTCTAATCTGGATCTTTAGCCGTCAAGCTGGGCATGACGATGGCTGGGAAGAACGTGTCGGACTTTGAGAAGAAGAACGTGAACCTCATCTCGCCGCGGATCTTCTCGCTGGTGCCGGAGAATGAGGAGAGGACCAAGGACGAGGTTTGAGTTACCAAGTCGAAAATTTCAGTTTTACCGTTGTAGCTTTAAAAGTACGTATTCCGAGGCTTTCTGCACGAATTTCATAGCGTAATCGGTTGATCTAATTTTTTCAGGGTTATTAGAGAACTTTAGGCAATTTTTCGCGGCATATATGCAACTTCGAGACGGCGGAAATACAGAAATATTGTGAATTTCGATCGAAAACACCGTAATCGAAAATTTTCCGGTCGAAATAGGCGTCATAATGGCGATTAGTGATTAGTCTCTCTCACTCACTCTCTCTCTCTCGCTCTCTCTCTCTCTCGCTCTCTTTCTCTCGCTCGCTCTCTCTCCCTCTATCTCTCTCTCGCAATAAGCTGATTTCAGTGCCTTACAATGCCCAATTTTCCTGTTTTCGAAGCCATTACTCGTTGAACTTCTCGAAAATTCTGGGGAATCATAGAGATTTGACTTCTAAACCTCTTTAAGAAAACTTTTGCCAGATCAACCTCCTCTCCCCGTCCGTGTTCTCCCTCCATCAAGACGGTGATGACCTCGAGAAGTCCCTATCGATGGGAAAAGCCCTTCGAACCGTTGGACTTGACCCTGACACGCAGCAGTTGATGGACATGATCGTCGAGGCGGCTGGGGTCAGCGATGCCGTTGATTCGATTAAGGTATATTTGGCCTAAAAGGGCTTCAATGATGCTTGTAGAACTCGAAATTCGCCGAGCTCGAGCGCAAGGAGGAAATTCGAGGGCCAAACGGGGAGCCGCTGTTCTGGACAAGGGAGAACGCCTCGCTGGCGCTTGGGAAGGAGGAGGTATGCATTTGAAACCATGGAATTCGATCAAACTATAGACAGTCTGACCTACCAAAGTGTATAAATTTAATGTTAAAATACGTACTTTAAGTAGAAGAATTTTTAAGCTCAAAAAAATCGACGTCATGGAGCACTTACACAAGATGTATACGCCTAGTCAGGTGGGAAATATCTATAGCTTTCTCTCTTCTCTCTCGCTCTCTCTCTCTTTCTCTCTCTCTCTCTCTCTATTGCTCTCTCCCTCTCTCCTCTCTCTCTCTCTCCATTGTCACCACCGTTTTAAAGATGGAAGAAATGCGCGCGACCGGCTACACGACGATGACCCCACGGCAGCTCGATTTCGTCTACGGCCCCCGTTCGCCCTACAACAACTCCGAGACGCTCGACAAGTTTAGAGGTATCTCTCTCTCTCTCTCTCTCTCTCGCTTTCTCTCTCTTTCCCGAATTACCACAACCATTCAGGAATGAAGCTCGGCCGCGCTGAAGTAGATGAACACATCCAGAACACAATTCGGGACGTCGCGCTGCGGAAGATCGAGTTCAAGGCGGATCCGACGGAGGTGCACAAGGAGTTGGACGCGTTTAAAGGGTCCAGGAAAAAGGTAGCGACCTTTTAAAACGACGTGCAATTCAGATTTAGGACATCGTCTTGTCGCCCATCTCGTTCCTGTTGGCGTTGAACAATCCGGCGCTCGTCTCGCAGCCTGTTATTTTATCCCCGGTACTTTTCTAGCCCTAATTTTCTAGATATATTTTGCGTATCTCCTCTCTCTCTCTCTCTCTCTCTCTCTCTCTCTCTCTCTCTCTTTCTCTCTCTCTCTCTCGAAAAATATTTTTTCAGGTCATCTTCTCGGCCCTGGTCTGCTCTCCAGCCGTCTTCGGTGCCATCATCCTATCCCCATGGCTTTTCGTGGCTGCCATTCTGTCACCCCGTGTTCTCTCGCCGGTACGATTTTTGCTCTAAACGGTTTATTGATGAGAAAATTGTGGCATACCAGCAGATACCATTTGGGAATTCAAACTTCCCAAATTCTACCCTTCTAGGTCATCCTCAACCCGTTCGGCTTCGTGCCCATCATCCTGACACCATTGGCCCTCGATCCGATCATCCTCTCGCCCGGCATCTTCAACCCGTTCGTGCTCTCGCCGCTCGTGCTCTGCCCGTTCATCTTGTCACCACAGGTAAGGCCTCGGAGTCAACGGTTTCATTGAGTGCGGAGGTGTAGCGTTTTCCGGGTGGATGCGCGACGCACCCCGCGACGCGTGCACCAGTTTTGAGAAACGCGTCGTGTGGGCGCGTTGTGTGTTGTGTTTTCGCTCGCAAAGCCGCCGCGCAGCCCGCTTTGGGCTTTGAACAGCAACGTTAAAGGGAGCGGGCAAGGGTGAAAAATACTAGCATCGCTTCGCGGCGCGGAGGTGCGTCTGGTTGAACGCGTCGCGGATGCGCTGTGATGATTCCTCGACGCAACGATGCGACGTGATGCGATGGCGTCAACATGAGAGAGAGGGCGAGAGAGAGGGAGGGAGAGAAAGAGGAGGAGAGAGAGAGAGATAGAGAGAAAGATAGAGAGAAAGAGAGAGAGATATATATATCTTTTCTAGCAACGGGGTGACTACAGCAGCCGTAGCTTTAAAGGCAGAATTCCAGGCTATCTGGTCGTTGAACGCGTCGCGGACGCGCTGCGCGTCAAGATTTCCGACGCAACGCGACCGCGTCGCATTGACCCACAAATTTGCTTGGCTTCCAGGATTACCGTAGCTCAAAATCTGTGTTTTTTTCAGGCATTCACCCCGCTGATCCTCTCCCCACTCGCCCTGAACCCGTTCATCTTGACGCCGAATCTGATGTCGCCGCTGATCTTGTCCCCATTCGTCCTCTCCCCTATCATTCTCTCGCCAGCCTATGTGACCGGCATCATCCTATCCCCATATGCCCTCTCCCCGGCCATCGGCTCAAACGGCGCCATAGTTACCGTATTTGGATCACCGAGTTTCTTGTCGTAATCGATCCGAATTATTTTTAAACTTAAAAAAGGCAAACTAGCGGTGATTCCTGTGGAAAATTTGCCTTTCCAGACCCTTTAAAATAACCGTGTTACAACCCGAAAATCCATAATAATTTTTGAGCATCGGGTGAGTTTAAATTTTCCGATTCCAGTCCATTCCACCAAATTGTCCCCAGTGTTCTTTGCCAAGACAAAGGAGTTGTACAATCATTTGAATTTTGTCTGGCTTTTAAGCACTGTTAATTGAATAACTTTAACGTTTTTTATTGCTTTTGTCGGTATGGTAATTACCGTATTTTGATATCAAATTTTAATAAATGTTTTTATTGCTATAAAATTCAATTTTTTTCAATGGAAATTTCCATTTGAAATGTATTTTGGTATTTTTACTTTTGGGTCCCAAATCAATTGCTGAGTTGCGATCCAGGTTGCTGTGGCATTATCGGGGGGGGGGGGGCAACTTTTCCTTAGAATCACAGTTTTCGAATTTAACGAACAAAAGAATTTGTAAGCTGTTTTACTATTAAAAAGCAAAAAATTTGAAAATTTTGGATAGAAAAATATCGAATATTTTACTAAAAATGACCAAAAAATTTATAAGATTTTTTTAGTATCTTTTTACTTAAAATCTAGTTGAATTTTACGAAAAACACTCTTAAAATGCTTGCTATTACGTTACTAAACATTTTTGGATTATACAACCCCCCCCCCCCCGATAATGCAAGAGGACCCATTTTAACTTAGCCTTATAAGAATTTTAAATCAATTGATTTTTATGAATTAAAAATTAATTAAATAATTTTATATTTTATTTAATCCTTTTGCAGCTAAAATACCGTATTTTGTAGTGTACTGTACTGTGTTGTTACAGTACCGTCGTTTTAAATGCAAATTTATTCCCCATCGGGGGCTGTACAAACAGGGCCCGGGGCCTGTCATGGGAAAGACATGATATGGGAGATATCTGAGATGACTTGCACGTCCCTTTAATATCCGGGGGCGGTGCGGGGTGGTGGGCAGTGGTCGCAGCCTCCCTTGGGTCCCTGGTCTCCAGACTGGCCGTCGGCTCCTGGCTGTCCAGCGGCACCGGGCTGTCCATCGTGGCCGTTGTCTCCAACTGGTCCCTGAAAATACAAAAAATATAAACGAGTCAATTTAAAATTTTAATCAATGGAGAATTCAGCGTTTTTAGCCAAAAAAACCATAAAATCCGTGCCTTCACCGCTCCTTTAAACCCCCCAAAAACCACGGTACCTGTTGTCCGTCGCGTCCGGGCTGTCCATCGCGGCCAGGGGGTCCCTGTGGTCCAGCGGGTCCGGCCTGTCCAGGGGCTCCAGGGGCTCCAGCGGGGGCGGGCACAGTGTTGACGACTCCAGGGCGTCCAGCGGCTCCAGCCTGTCCGGGGTGTCCATCCTGTCCAGCGGGTCCTTGGGGTCCCTGGGCTCCAGGCTGTCCGGGCTGGCCATCAGGTCCGGGCTGTCCGTCTTGGCCGGCGTTTCCGTTGGGTCCCTTGGGTCCGGCGTTTCCAGCAGGTCCAGGGGGTCCTGCCGGGCAGTCGAAGCAGAAGTCATCGGCGGTGGGGACGGCATCGGGGGCGGCGTCCTCTCCATCTTGGCCGTTCTCTCCAGCAGCTCCATCCTGTCCATCGTGTCCATCATCTCCGGGGGGTCCAGCGGGTCCGGCCTCACCAACTCCGCACGAGCAGCAAGAGCCCTCGGAAGAGGCGCTCGAGTCGGCGACGGCAGAGTCTCCGTACGATGGCTAAAGGGGAAAATGTTCATAGTTTTAAGTCTTTGGCTGGGAGTACGGTATTGTACTACAACTCTGCGATAAAAGCCACTAAAACTACCGTACCTGGGCTTGGACGGGGCTGTCGTATCCGGCTTGCCTCTTGACAACCTTTCCACGGACTCCCTTGATCACTTGCATGCGCTCGTACTGCTCGAACAGGCCGGTGGTGCGGTGCTTGCAGAAGTCGACCTAGAACACGAAAAATTGGATTTAGTAGGCAATTACGGTAGTTCAAGGAAAGGGCTACAGTAGCTAGGGCATAAAATAGCAAGTTCGAGCCTACCTCAGTCTGCAGAGACGACTGGACGTGCTGCATGTAGTTGTACAACGCCGGGATGGCGACGATGCACGTCAGGGTGGCGATAGTGCTAAAAAAAATAAAATTATTAAAAACTTACAAAAATGTTTTAAAGGTACGCGCAAGGCAAAATAGCTATGGATTTTGGTAAGAAAATATCGGAAATCTTCATAATTTATTTCAAGATTTTTAACAATGTTTTAAAGGGCCTCTGAAGCCAAAAAAGCTGTGGATTCTAGCCAAAAATGCGTACCTGATGGCAACACCGCAGAATGCGGTCCTCCTCAGGCTTTCCGCCTCTCGCATCTGCTCCTTGTCGCTGGACATCTTCGGGAAGGTCGGACTTGTTGAAGTCGTTGAGGTAGCAACCTGGTCTGGCCCAACTTTGCGGGCGTTTATATATGGACCTGGGGGAGGCTCATCATTGCCCATTGTTTTTCTGTCAATTTTAGGATCCGTTTTTCAAAGGAGAGAGAGAGAGAGAGAGAGAGAGAGAGAGAGAGTGAGAGAGAGAGCAAAAGAGAGAGAAAGAGAGAGAGATGGAGCTCGAGTTTCGGGATCTTCTTTCTCCCGAAATTAGCTATAGGCGCATAGAGACAATTGAGCGGGGAGAATGACCTCGAAGATCCGCTGCCCGGGGTTGCCCTTTGTTTTACACCCCCCGACACTCTATTGGGCAGACAGACTGTTGTCCTGAAATTGGAATGGAAGAGGAGCAAGAGCAGGAGGGTGTCAAGAGTTTCACTTTTCGCTCTCTAAACTATCATTTCTTCGGATCGCACTCCCTGCAGTGCATCGTTTGTGGAGCACGAGCTATGCGGAAGTGGCAACGTACTCAAAATCTAAAACTACCTTCTTATATCTCTACTCAATCTAAAGTACTTTTTATCTAAAAAACTCGAAAAGTTCATTTTCGAAAATCTTCAAAATTTTCGTTTTGTTACTACGAAAAAAGAAACGCAAAAATTTTGGCAGGGATAATACTGACAACCATAATCCCGAAATGCAAAATCCCGACGGCCAAAGTCGCTACTTCGAAATACCGACAGGTCCTCCTACCCGATATCCAAAATCTCGACAGCAAAAATCGCGACAGTCAAACTACCAACGGTGATAATACCGGCAGAATAATCCCGACAGCCAAAATCCCGACAGCTAGAATCCCGACAAGCAAAATCCCGATATGCAAATTAGTTGTTTAAAAGGGAGTGACATCTAAACCAGCGGCAAAACATGTCGTGATTTTGAGCTGTCGATATTTTGGTTGTCGGGATTTTATTTGTCGGGATTATGGTGTCGACGTTTTCAAAAAGGGGAACTTAAAATGGTTTCTCGTTAGGAGATCAAATTTTGCCACACTTTTTCAGTTATTTTGCCAAACTGTTTTTTTTCTGGCTAGGAAATTGGGCTTCTCTAATGCCAAGATTTCTATCAATTCAAACGACGCTAAAAATTAAAAAAATCATTTTATGTCATTTCCCCTATCCCTTTTCAGCATGCAATTCATTTCCAAAGCCTCCAGTTGTTTTTCTTGGGCTTCGCCATTTCAGTCCGTTAGCCGATCTGCTTGTGTGTGTGTGTCGTTAGTATTTGAGTGGAATGTCTGTGTCTACTCCTCCCGGTCACACCTCGTGGACTCGAAATCTCAAGAAGCGGTAGATGCCCGTGAAAGTGGAAAGTGAACACACACTGGAGATTTGGGCGAAAGCGACGAGGGCATCGGATTGGGAGGAGAAGCTTTGGATTAGCACTAGCTTTAAGAACTTTCAAAAATTCTTGAAATTCCATGAACTTTGAGGTTTTGCGGCGAATTTTTGACCGTTTTAGGCACTTAGAAAACGGATCCGTTATTGGACAGGCCTCTCTCGCTTCCAGTCGAGGTAGCGCAGTCGGTTAATGGTTTCAGGCTCAAGAATTTTTCGATTCTTTCCATAAGTTCGAATCCACTGCTCTGTAACGCTTTTGCTTTTTGGATTTTACATACGCCGATCGAACCGGTTTTGTAAATTTATTTTTCTACGGCATTTTTGGTCCAAATTGACTTTTCGCCCCGCCGGTAGTCTTAGCGCAGTCGGTTAGAGAGTTCGTTATTAGGAAATTTCCGTCCTTTTCGCACAAGTTCGAATCTTCTCCAGGGTAGTCCTTTTGCTTTTTGCTGTTTAAGGGCCCCATCATATCTATTTTTTGCATGTTTGGTGAAAATGCATTTTTTTTGTAAAAATTAATGTGTGTTAGTGCTTGTTTTACATGCATAGAAACCCGAATATTTTATTCTCGACAGCTGGCTGACTACACTTCTGTACAAACAACGGGTGATGGGGGCAACAATAAAGGGCCCGTCGTCGCGGTGGCTGGTATTTAGTAGCCGGGGGCGGTGCGGGGTGGGGGGCAGTGGTCGCAGCCTCCGCCGTTTCCTTGGGGTCCGGCCTCTCCGGCTTGTCCGTCTTGACCGGGCTGGCCGGGCTGTCCGTCGTTTCCGTTGTCTCCGGGGGGTCCCTGCAAATATATAATTAAAAAGAATTTTTATTAAACACGAAAAATTCCCAAAAAATCCTGCTAAGAGTCGGCTTCCACCCCTTGTATTTCAGCTCCCTGTTGGTTTACAGGTGTGTCAAGTATACCAAAATGTTCGTCTCGTTTTGGCGAGCATTTTGGTATATTTTACGTCCTTGTAGCGCAATAGAGCGTCCAGATACACTAGGTGCACCTGCCCCGGTACGTAAGCGTGCGCCTGTTTACGCCTGTCCCCAAAACTCCCAAAGGCTCCAAACTCCAACTCCCACCTGAGGTCCGTCCTGTCCAGCGTTTCCGGGAGTTCCGGGCTGTCCATCGCTTCCGGGCTGTCCAGGCTGTCCAGGGGGTCCGGGAGGTCCAGCCGGGGCGGGCACTTCCGAGACGGTACCGGGCTGTCCGGGGGTTCCGGCGTTTCCGGGCTGTCCATCCTGTCCAGCGGGTCCCTGGGGTCCTGGGGCTCCATCCTGTCCGGGCTGGCCATCAGGTCCAGGCTGTCCATCCTGTCCGGGGTTTCCGTTGGGTCCCTTGGGTCCGGCGTTTCCAGCAGGTCCAGGGGGTCCAGCCGGGCAGTCGAAGCAGAAGTCATCAGCGGAGGGCTGGGCATCGGGGGCGGCATCCTCTCCGTCTTGTCCGTTGTCTCCGGCGGCTCCGTCTTGTCCGTCATGTCCATCATCTCCGGGGGGTCCAGCGGGACCGGCCTCACCAACTCCGCACGAGCAGCAAGAGCCGCCGGCTTCAGCTCCAGAGTCGGCAACGGCGGCATCACCGTATGCGGGAGCGGCGGGGGCAGGGGCAGCTGGTGCTCCGTAGCTGGAGACTGGGCTGTCGTATCCGGCTTGCCTCTTGACGATCTTTCCGCGGACTCCCTTGACGACTTGCATGCGTTCGTATTGTTGGAAGAGACCATCGGTGCGGTGCTTGCAGAATTCGACCTGGAAATTGACATTTACATTTGCATTAAAACACTCTATTAACCATATTTTATCAGGTTACAGTGGCTAGGGCGTAAAATAGAAAACCAAGCCCACCTCAGTCTGGAGAGACGACTGAACGTGCTGCATGTAGTTGTACAACGCCGGGATGGCGACGATGCATGTCAGGGTGGCGACCGTGCTGGAAACGGGGTACTGTAGGGGGTACGGTATCGGGGGTAAAACTACAGTAGCCTGGATTCCAGGGGTTTTTAAAGGGGCTAGGAAGGCAAAACAAAGACTAGAGTATCCTTGCGGAATGTTTTGCAAAAAATTAACTTGCTCAAAACTGTGTTAATTCAAGCTAATATTACTGTAAATCTCAAAAAATATGGTTAATTTGCGGCCACAGTAGCCGAAAGTGAGAAATCAGGACAGCGAGAAATTGCTACAGTAATCCAAGCGGCCAGATGAAGAGTATTTTCATAAATGTAAATGGCCAGAATTTAAATAGCTCGAGGAATTACAGTAATCGGGAAAGCTAGAAGATTTATTAAAATGTTTAAAAGTTACTGATTGCAAATTTAAAGTGGCGAAAAACTCCAAAAATGCGCAAAACTACCGTACCTGATGGCGACGCCGGCGAAGGCGATGCGGCGAAGGCTCTCGGCCTCACGGAATGCCTGCTTCTCGTCGGTGTGCATGCTGAAAGGTGGCTTGCCTGACCCTGTCTACTACCCCCTAAGCCTACCCTTTTATACCACGACCCCGTGTCGACCCTCAAAACCGTACCCCCTTCCCCCTCCCCAGGGGGTGTCACCAACCCTCAGTCGAACTTGAACCCAAAAGCCTCTCCCTTTCACTTCTCACTCATTCCAGCAAAGCTGCTGCTCCTCACTCTCACCTCTTGTAATCTCGAAAGAGCCAGAGAGAGAGAGAGAGAGCGAGAGAGAGAGAGAGAGAGAGAGAGAGAGGGAGAGAGAGACAAGGGCTCATTAATTGCTTCTTTGCGCCTCTATCGGGCTGCTGATTGTAGTGGCAAGGCGGAAGTGAAGCGTAAGCTAAAGAAAAATGGCGATGAGAAGAAGAAGCAGCTAAAAAGTAGTTCCTCCTCCCTCAGGCTCATGCCCATGTTCCTTGGAATGTACATCGAGGGTGAAAAATTTTTAAAGGCGCATGACATCAGCCGGCAAATCGCGAACTAACTACCGTAGTCCTTATTACCTCGGCCTAAGCCTAAACCTAAGCCTAAGCCTAAGCCAAGCATAAGCCAAGCCTAAGCCACGCCTAAGCCAAGCCTAAGCCAAGCCTAAGCCAAGCCTAAGCCAAGCCTAAGACAAGTCTAAGCCAAGCCTAAGCCAAGCATAAGCCAAGCCTAAGCCAAGCCTAAGCCAAGCCTAAGCCAAGCCTAAGCCAAGCCTAAGCCAAGCCTAAGACAAGTCTAAGCCAAGCCTAAGCCAAGCATAAGCCAAGCCTAAGCCAAGCCTAAGCCAAGCCTAAGTCTGAGCAAAAGCCTAACCTAAGCCTAATCCTAAGCCTAAGCTTCCCTGAAAAAACGAAAACCTGAAAACTAAATAACCTGAATACTTTTTGTGTTTCTTCTTTTAATAGCAAAGCTTCAGGATTTTAAAGGAACTCGCAGTTACGAAAAGTTACTATAGACGGCTCACTTGAAAGAATTCTTCGACAATTTTTTCACACAATTTTTTCTGACCTTTTTACTGCTTCATTTCGGCTGTCGGGGTTACGGTGACGGGATTCTTTCTGTCGGTATTATCACTTTCGGGTTTTTGTCGGTATTTTGAATGCGGTGCTTATGCCCGAACTTTATTCCAACTGACCATGACTTTAAAAACGTACATTCCTTCCTGCTCTAAAAGGTCGTGCTCCCCATGTGAGGTGTGGATCGAAATGACCACCCACTCGCCATCCCCCTCTCACTATCCAGCGCCCCATTGTCTAAACCCACCGGGAAGATGATCTCCCTTTTTTCAGCTCCCCCGTCCGCCCCCTCAAACAATTCGTTTTTCTCGTGCTCATTGATGAAGAGCCGGGAAGAGCGGCAAGGTCAAATGCCCGCAGGGGGCACAATGGAAAAAACGGTGTCCTCACAGTCGTCCTCCTTGGCCGGCCTCCTGCTCCATTTCATCCTGCCCGCCAGCAAGCTTGGCGACAATCGACAAGAATCGAAAAGTGAACTGTAGCTGCTGAGGGAGGGGGGCTGGAGGACACTTTACACACATTACCTTTTTACTCCCCCGCGGCGGTGCGTTAGAGTGAAATTGAGACGGCGGAAGGGAACCTGACTTTTAAAGGTAGTTTGAGTGCCCAAATCCAAGCCTGAGCTAGAGCCTAAGCCTAAGCTGGCGCCTATGATAAGCTTAGGCCATAGCCTAAGCGTAAGCCCAAGTCAGAGATCCTAAGCCTAAGCCTAAGCCATGGCCTAAGCTTAAGCCGAAGCCCAATCTCGTTTTCGAGTAGCTACTCTAACAGATTTACGCTGAACTGTTTAACAGATCGAATCCCAACTGGCCCTGGAAATTCCAGTTTTGGCCTCGGTTTATGGTGGTTGAAATGTAAAAAACCGGGTTTGAATTTTCCAAAAATTGGTGAGTATCTTCATATCCGTTTCTTCGGGGCCCTCCTCAGCCACATAAATGCATTTTTGAGGTCGGTACTGTAGCAGGTGTACTGTAGTAAGTGTACTGTAGTGCTGTAGCCAGTGTCGAACCATTTCGAAAGTTTTTAGCAGCAGTTGTCAACGAGCTGAGGACGTTCAAGTACAGGCAAGAAGCCCTGGGAATCTATAGCTCTACTGTAGACGTTTGCATTGTAATTTGTAATCTAATGTACTCCGATTAACCTTGGCTACATGCCAAAAATCCATATCCCGTCTTTCCCGCCCCCTCAACGCACCCTAACCCAAAAAATATCACGTTTTGCGCTCGCCATCGCTTGGGGGAGGGCGAGTGAAAAAACCGAACTACTCGATACGGTCGGGCAGGGCGAGCCGCGGGGCAGATGCCGTGCAGAGGCGCGAAATGTTTTTCGAGCCGTCGACTCGGCGCCGAGATCCGATTTGTAGATATCGGATCATTGAGCAAGGGGGGGAGGATGACCATATTGATGAGGTTGTGGAATTTGGAAGAGAACGGAACTAGCAAAAAGAAGGGTGGAACGGCTAAGCTGCGGCAACACGAAGCCGCTCTCGTTTTTTTTTGAGGGTAGAAGAACAGCAAGTGCAACGCGAGCGATACCCCCGGCGTCTAGCCAGAAGTCCACAAAAAAAAGAAGGGGGCAACGAAAGCTCGAGTTCACGAACGAAATTGGGATCATGATCAATTCTTAATTAATTTTTGTATAAATCTATTTTAGTAGTATTGCTAGAAAGTTACAACAAATATGCTTAAAAATTTTTGAAAATTCGAAATTTCGAAAATTCCTACCTTTTTTGGGTCTTTTTCATACATTTGTCATGATTTATATCTCTAAAAACTATGTAAACTGCTATAAAAATGGTTTATATGTTGTTATAGGGCCCTAGAGAAACACAGGAAAAAACCTGGTCCCCCCGCTAACAGGCTAGAACCATTGTGGCTGTCTTTTTTGGAATCTGCAGCTCAAGTGCGTCTTTTAGACAAAATTTTATGCTGGAATTCGGTTAAAACAATCAATTTCTTGTGCTCTCTTCATATTTCTAGAGTTGGTGCTCAGCTGCGTCGTCTTGAAACTTTATTCAAATTGAAACAAGATAGCACGATCGTTTGATAGCAAATCTGTACTTCTCGGATTTTCCCTAGGAATCGGATTCTGAGCTGGGCCGTGAAACGATGTTTTTGAGTTTTTCAGCCATGTTCCCCGACTTAGAAATTTTTTCAAGTATGATTCGCCTGTTGTAGTTTGTAGGCCAGCTTGACTCTAGTCCGATAGTACATCCCGAATACCCTTAAACGATCGTAGATCAGCTCCATAAACCGATGCGTAACGCGTCTTGTTCTTGCGGTGGCGAGTTCTAATGGCATTCTCGGCCTCGAAAGTCGCTCAAATAGACTTTCTCTGAGCGTCGAGCTGGACTTGAATGCCAACGATCCGTCAGTCTGTCGATTTTGTCTACTCAAGCCTCAGGGTTCGGCTACCCAAACAGATTTTGGGCGATTAAAGCCGAAGGTAGGGGTCGAAAATCATGGCGTAACCGGTTGGGCGGAAGTTGACCCTGGCCTCACGCTAAAAATTGACCCTTGGGCAGACGAGCAAGGTTTTGATGGTACTTTTGGGTCATTAAAAACTACTAAAAAAAGTAAAATCGCTAATATTTTTGCAAATAATCTTTTATTAATGGCAGTATTAATAATATTAGTAATAACCTAATTTTAATATGCATAAAAATCTCTATAATATTAATTATTCATTCTTATAACCGAACCTATATCGCCTGGTAGCTAATTTATCTAATTGTAACGACCGAAAAATACTACTAGCACTTGGTTTATTTCTGCTCCCGGGTTACTGTAGGCCTTAAAAATTCGCTTTAAAAATTTTAAAAGCCTGTATGTAATTCTAATGGCATTAGTTTCTTAAGATTCCAATTTTTACTGATTTCTGACATCCTTTTAGGGATACCGTACCCAAAAAAATTTTAGAAATGTTCCTGGCGAATTTTAAGATCACGTTTTTAAAAAATCAGAATTTGCCTTTCCGGTCCCTTTAAAACTACAGTAAATTACGAATAATTTTTGAGAATTTTTAACTGCTGCTAAATCTACTTGGCCTGACATTTTCAAACTTTCCGATCCCTTTAAAGCTACAGTAATCCCAACAATATTAACCCAAAAATGATAATTTTTGTCTGATTTCACGTACACTTTTCACAACTCTGAGACCCGAATCGTTTATTGTATTGGGACGTGTAATAAATATCTCTTTGCACATGATCGTACTCCTTGTCGTTCTCCTTCTCCACCTGCCACTCCTCAATATCCAGGGGCAGTCCTGGGTGGGGGGCAATGTCCGCATCCTCCTCCAACTCCAGCCACTCCAGCGTCTCCCTGCTTTCCAGCGTTTCCGGGGTTTCCGGGGTGTCCATCCTTTCCGTTGTCTCCAACAGGTCCAGCCGGTCCATCTTGTCCGGGCTTTCCGGGTTGTCCAGGGGGTCCGTCGACTCCCGAATTTCCTTGAGGTCCAGGGGGTCCGGGGGGTCCGGCGGGGGCGGGCACTTCGGATACGGTACCGGAAGGTCCCTTGGTTCCGGCGTTTCCGGGCTGTCCCTCTTGGCCGGGGGGTCCTTGGGGTCCGGGGGCTCCAGGCTGTCCGGGCTGACCATCGGGTCCCTTGTTTCCGGGGGCTCCGGGGTTTCCGTTGGGTCCCTTGGGTCCGGCGTTTCCAGCAGGTCCAGGGGGTCCAGCCGGGCAGTCGAAGCAGAAGTCATCAGCGGAGGGCTGGGCATCGGGGGCGGAGTCCTCTCCTGTAAGAAAAAAATAGAGATGGCGAAGGAAAAGCCACGATACATTAAGCCACGTGAAAAAAATTACGCTACGTTAAGTTACGCTACGCGAATGTACGCTACTGTACGCTACATTACGCTAGCCTACACCACGTTATTACGAAGGTTGTTACCTTTAAGTTTGAAAACCACGTCGAACAAAACATCTGATTAACTACGCGGAAGTACGCTTCACCTCGCTAGACTACGCAATTGTACGTTGCCTTACGCTAGTTTTGTTACACGCTACACTTCAGAAAAATTTTCAAAAACTACTCTTATTACAATACCGTAGTACGCCATGTACGTCAGAGAGCTACGTGACTGTACGATCGGTTAGTACGCTATGCTCCTTATTACGCTAGGTTATCACGACCCTGACATTTTGCAGAGTTAAAAAGTGCTTTCAAGTCAAGATAGTGACTTTAAAAAGCCGAACTCCGCCAAAATCCTTTCGACTACGTATCTGTGCGTCACATTACGCTATGGAATTACAGTACGTGACGTTTTTTTACTAGGCAAAAAACGTTTTGAAGCGTAAAAATAAGGGCAGCGCAGATATACGATACGCACCTATCTACTTTACGCAACTATACGCTACATTACACCACTCTATAACTCTCAATCCCTTACCAGGAGTTCCATTCTCTCCGGCGGCTCCGTCATTTCCGTTCTTTCCATCATCTCCAGGAGGTCCAGCCGGGCCAGCTTCGCCCACTCCGCACGAGCAGCACGATCCCTCTCCTCCAGCTGCCGAGCTGACTCCACCAACGGGGGCATCGTAACCGCCGGCTCCTCCAGCGGGAGCATGTCCTGGGGCGTTGGCGGCGCCTCCGGCTGCGGCTCCTCCAGCAGCTCCAGCTGATCCTCCCATCGGGTTGTCGTACGACTGTCTCTTCACAATGCGTCCTCGAACGCCCTTGATCTGGGCCATACGCTCGTACTGCTCGAAAAGGCCGGTCGTGCGGTGCTTGCAGAATTCGACCTGGAAATGGGGGGTGTGATAAATTAGAGCTTGCAAAAACCAATTCCTATAGGTTACTGTAGCCAAGATAGATATCAAGACTAAGTTAAGCCTAAGCCTAAGCCTATGCGAAGCCTAAGCCAACCCTAAGCCTAAGCCTAGACCAAGCCCACGCCTACCTCAGTCTGAAGAGACGACTGAACGTGCTGCATGTAGTTGTACAACGCCGGGATGGCGATGATGCACGTCAGGGTGGCGACGGTGCTGAAAAATTGAGCTATCGTGCCTGAAATTTAGCAGTTTTTTGGGGCGGCACGTCTGCAACAAGTGCGAGTGGTCAATTTCCAACAATTCAGTGAAATTTAGGACCCAAAAATGTTAGAACTAGATGTTTTTTGGCAGTTCCACTTCAATACAAACCACTCCGACACACTGCAAGTGATGTAAAGAGTATAAAAACGTTAGCAAATTGAGGTTAAAGGAACGGGCAAGACGGGAAAATGGGTTTTTAACCATCAAAAATCTATGGATTTTGGTTGAAAACGGGGCACGCAACGCATCGCGTAGCGAATTTCATCGCGTAATTGGATACTGGTTTTTAAGACGATATACGGTAAAATAAAAAGTAATAATGTGTAAATTGTAACGATTTTTCGCCTAGCGCGTCACTCGGACTTTGATGGTATAATGGATGATAAGCGTCAAAAAACGTCAAATGGCTCGCGTTGCGTGTCGCGGGCGCGCGGCAAAATCCATTTTTCACCGCGAAACTTGAGCGTAAGTAAGTGAAGTAATTAAGTGATCAAATCAGGAATAGCAAAATGGCGTCGAATACCCTAAATCGTGCCCAAACCACCGTACCTGATGGCCACGCCGGCAAAGGCGATGCGACGAAGGCTCTCGGCCTCCTGAAGGGCGCGCTTCTCCGGGCTCTTCTCCATTATTGTTCGAGGGTTTCCGAGGAGACGATCGGTGCCGTCAGTTCTCCTGCCTTTTATCCACTTCCACCCTATCCAACCCCCCAAAAGCCTCCCCCGCGCCTTCCCAATTCGATCCGCGCGGTCGCGCTGCCGATCCCAGAAAACCCAGGCGATGCTTTAAGGTCTCGTTATCTCTCGCGTTCTGTCACTCTCTCTCTCTCTCGCTCGCTCTCTCGCGCTCTCTCTCTCCCTCTCTATCTCTCTGGCTCTCTCTGGCTTTCTCTCTCTCCCTCTCTCTCTCTCTCTCTCTCTCTCTCTCTCTCTCTCTCTCTCGTTTCGATTCGAAATCGGGGCTCTCCATCTGTTGTGTGTGGGTGTGCCGTTCGGCGCTTCTCGAATGTTTTTCCATGGATTCTCGATGCCCTCCTCAAAACCGCACGGAAAATGGCATGCCGGGGAAAGCGAAAAAATTATAAAATTATAACCCATACTAAACACGAAAAATTTTTGGGTTTTAGAAGCCCGGTCTCACGCCCCAGATCGAGTTCCATGTCCCTTTAAAACTTGAATCGAGCTCTGGAGGTCCGATTACGCTGTTAAATTGTTTTTAGCTCTTACATAACCGGCGAGTCCTTTTAAAACACAGAACGGAACTTCTGAGGTCCGATTACGCGTGGAAATATTGAAAACGCGAGCCGAGCACCCAGCGATCCTATTAAGCAATGGAATGTTTCATTTACGTGAAAATTGGACTACGCGCTGCTACCAATCACGGTCTGATTCCCTGTGCGCCTTGAAGCTTTTGAGTTGCTGGTTACGAACGGCCGGAGTCGGTGTTGTATTTTGATATAGATCGTGTTTTGCCACTTGACTTACTGCATCTCCTCTTCACTTTACTCTCGCTCTCTCACGCTCTCTTGCTCTCTCTCTTGCTCTCTCTCTCTCTCAATTTCTCTCCCAATACACGCAAATTCGAAGGTTCGATCCGGTTGGTCGCTTTTTCAAAATCAGGGAATTTCCCGTAGTGCGGCGATCGTCACACAGCCTATTAGACTGTTCGCAAAAATCGACACTGATGTCTAGCCGAGCGGAAATGGAGGTACAAGGCACTTTTTAGCGTCCGGCTGGCGTAGGGTAATCGAATTAAGTGAAGCCTAGGCCTAAGCCAAACTTAAGCCAAGCTTAAGCCTAAGCCAAGCCTGAGCCTAAGCTAAGTCTAAGCTAAATGTAAGCCTAGACAAGCCAAAGCTAAGCCTAAATTCAACTTCAGCTAACCCCAACTCAGGTCGAAGCCAAAGTCAAGCTTAAGTTTCAGGCTAAGCCAAGCCCTTCGGCCAATTCTAAGCTAGGCAATGCTGAAGCTAAGCCTAAACCAAGAAGTAAGCTAAGTCAGACCCCGGCTTATCACCATGGCTACCGGCTTACCAACACTCTTGCCACCCGCTTCCCGAAACGTGCAGCTCATTTCAAAAAGCTCATCCTCCCCCCTTGCCCCCGTTCCGAAACGCATGCCATCGGCTGTCGACTCGATGCCGCGGCTTCAGGCAGGTTCCGGCCTGTCCTCTCCCCCTCCAAAAAAAAACGAAAAGCCCCCCGGATCCACAGCCGAGCTCTTCTTCGCCGTGTGCGCAATCAAAGCGAACATCATGATACCCACCCCAAAAGCGATCCATCGAATTATCATCAAAAATTGGCGCAGCAGGAGGGAGGGGGGCAGCTTTCGCTTATTTTGAGTCCGTTCACACCCCGGAAAGGCGAACGGCGCGAAAAGCCGTTCCAAAATATTGGCTTTTCGGGCGGAATGGGGACTAGGAAAATTTGGGTGGATTTTTAGCGCTAGATTACCTAGCGTAATCGATTTTCTGGCGTCCTAAATCAGTTACGCAACGAAAATATCGGTTTTTCGATCGATTATTGCATCTAAATATCTATTTTGGAAACGATTACGTTATGGATTCTCTATAGGTGTGCCGCTGACGCGACACGCAACACGAGCCCAGCATTCCGTCGCGTAATCGATTAGACGGCGGCCGCGTTGCGTGTCGCGGGCCCGACAAAATTGAATAAATCAAAAAACCGTCTTAAAAATCCCTTTAAATATATTACGAAACAAAACTATGAATCTTATTTAATTCGCAAAGGTTTAACTGCTAATAAATAAAATCGAGTTAATAAATTAATACGTTTAAACTTTCGCTGTACTTTTTCAGGCGTGAGTTCGACTTTTAACGCTATTTTAGCAATCGTTTTAAACGTATGAGTTTAACAATTAAATCCATCAACTTTTTCTCAATATTAAGGTTCGAATTTACCAGGAAATTTTGATGTTTTCACCAACTTTGATGCGTAGCGCGCTTAACCTGCCATTCTTCGCGCATCAACGCCATCTGCCCGTTCGAAAGGCGTTCGCCCGGCCATGGCATACACACACGGCGCGGGGGCGCTGCTTCAATCCACGCGCGAGAGGCCGCAGCGCACAAAGTCTTTTGCCCCCCTTCGGGCAGAAGAGGTGAATATCGGTGGCAGCCGATGCGGAGAACCCGTTTCCCGCCACCAACATCCGAAGAGACACACACACAAAAAAAGAGTGCAGTCCTCACACTACCCCCAATCAAATGCCCTTGGAAAGGGACGAAATGAATCCCCGGCGCCCCCGCGCTAAACGACCGCGCGTTTCCCTACAATCAGGGGGCTGATTGAAATCCGATTTCGAAAGAAAAGTGTTAAAATATAGTATTTCGATGATGTTATATAGCTAGTCAGAAGGCGCAAAAAATTTCGATCAAAGTGATGGTTTTAAAGCTTGATAAAGCTTACTTGTAAACTTATTGCTAGCTAAGAACCTTTCCAGTTCAAAACAAATTCAGAAAAACAGTCTAGAGGTCCGGTCGAATGCGCTAAAAATTCTGATCAAAATCGCTGTTTTTAGACGTTATAAAACTTCAGGATTTGCATGTAAATCGAATCTTTCCAGTTCAAAATAGTACTCCAGCAAACTGCTTTGAAATACGTTCGAAAGCCCGAAGAAAGCCTAATCAAAAAAGGTCGGTTTTACACCATATAAAACTTTAGGAATCGGCCTAAAACTTATTTATTTATTTAATACAAGGCTTTTATAAATCTTCTCATGGTTTTCCGGATCATTCTGGTCGAAATAGCCAAATTTTATCTTCGGAAAAATGAGCCGTTAGATAAAATATTTTCAAAAATTGAAAATCTACATAAAGCAACTTTTGGATGGCCGGGCACAAACCAAAAATGCTGAAGATTTAACAAAAATTAGCATACTGTCCAAACACCCCATAAAATGCGCGCGAACCGCCATTAATAATGCCCGCAGACGACCCGCATGGCCCGATGGTCGTCAAAAAGGCGCAGGTTCGTTGGAAGAGTGGATTCCCAAACGATACGCATCCCGTAATGCAGACACTGCGCGACACGCTGCGCCAACTAATCCACAGCTACGTCGGCGGCCCGGTGCTCAACGCCCTCAGCGTCAACGTCGAGTTCAACGGCGGCGCGGCCAATGTGAACAAGGAGTAAATAGGCGTTGGAGTATCTAAAGTGATTATTTCTAGACCTCCTCCTCCCACCGGGCCACAGGTCGACAGCCCGCAACCCTGGCCGATCAACTACGCCGACCCAAAGAATAAGCGGAACGCGAAGCGCGACTTCACGAAGCAACCGCCTGGCGCCGCTGGACCCCAGCAGATGCAGCTGCTTACGGATGGTAATAAGCCTAAAAAAGATAATTTACATATCGAAAATTGAATACGGAAATTGGGATCGCGCGTAAATTCCCCCTCATTCACACCCAATGCCCTGGCTATCCCGTTTGGTCAAGGGCGTCAAGCGCCGGCTGTCCGGTCGCCCAAAAGAAGACCCAGGTTTCGCTTCGAATAGATTTCGAATTTCGCAAAATTTAGACTTGCAATACTTGCGCGAGCTAACCAGCCCTAGCCGCCCCTCAATGGACAGCTTCCGCAAGGGAAAAGCATGACGACGATTTCAACAAGACTTTCATCAAAAATTGGGGCGACGCGCCGCCAATGCCCTCCTTGGAATTGGAACCGGCCGGTGGTTAAAATGGGCAAAAAAATTGAGAATTACATTTTTTTCAGGTGTTTGTGTTGATAGCAACGCGTTACAGGTGGCGATGCGGCGCCTCTTCATAAGGCCACTCGTCGTGAACTGCCCAGCGCCAAGCAGTACGCTGTCGAGCCGCACGGGGTATGAAGGCGCCCGATACCTTACCCAGCTTCTTTTCCAGAGGGGCGTCCGCCTTATCGAGCCGCCGTCCGACCAGAAGCCGAACCTAGTTATCGTTGTAGGGTTTTCTTCGTAAATACGGAAAACTCTTCGTACTGGACTATTAGTGGACGATTTTTAATGCGGGACCACTTACAAAAATATTTAGTTATGTAGTGTATTTTCATCGTTTTTGGTAGATTTTGATTCCTAAAAAGTCAAAAACCTCTCCGAAAATTGGAAATTTTTGGCAATTTTCTTACATTTTTGGCCAAAACTACATTTCCTTTTCGCGGACCCTAGTAATTTTGATATGAACGGTGTGAAAAGGCCGCACTAATATTTTTAGGACGCCTCTAGCAAAGCCATCCGAGAGCGGAAAGACTCGACCTGTTCGGAGCCCGAGTCCCCGGCCGACGATACTCTGGATAGTATCCAGAGCCTTATGATGGACAGCGACCAGCACAGCCTTGTCTACACCGAGGGAATGGAAGCCGGAGTATGGCAGAATCCCCCATTTTCAGCCACCCATTTCAGACGTTCATCCCTGGCGGTTCCGTTGACTTTGACTGCACCCTGAACGAGACCACCTTCACCCTCCAAGCCGGCTTCTAGAACATTACAACGAGATGTGAACTCCGAATTCCAAATAATTTTACTCATGGAAACATGCTTGCTGCAATTAATAAATTATGCCTGAAGCCATGACTGTACAGAAAAAAGACACCCCATCACCAGACGTAAATCACAAAAACGAGATGAGCACAGTGCAGAATGGGGACAATTGGCTATGCGGACGCGTTCGTTGCCGAGATCGCTGCCTTGATAACGTTGGGCGACTCGCCAAGCATTTCGTCAAGTTCTAAAGCCGTGACTGGGGAGAGACGCCAAAAACCGTTTTACCTTCAACCATGACGTGGAACCCAAAGTGCAGATAGATCAAGTAGAGCAAGTGGATCCCCACGCAGACGGCGATTACCGTCAGCTTGTGAGCGGGATCTCGAGTTTTTGAGGCGAAATACATCCCCTAGAAATCATTGAATTCATACGAAATTGTTTGCTACCATCCTGAGCGCCGACGGGAAGCAGAAAAGGAGCAGCAACCCGAAGAAGTACATGTGATCGTGCGATGGGTGGTAGATGGCAGTGAGGAGCAGCACCAGGCAATGTGAAGTCATTGAATAACCCTAGTAATTCCTTTTTGCAAGGAGAGGCTAGAAAATACTTACCACCAACGAAATTGTGTGCACAAAGCCGACGTCAACGTTCACGACGTAGCACATCGTCGAGATGACGGTTGACATAATGATCCAGGCAGCGAAGCAGGATACCATCGCCGACCCGATCAACGTGCCATCTTGAGTTGTGTATCTGCAAATTAACAATTTTTTTTAATTTTTCTCACGAAAACTTACCCTCCGCTTTTCATATTCAACAATAGGAAGGCCACCATCGTGAGCACGACCATAGAGGGCCCGTAGAGATCATAGGTCACCGTTGTAGGCAATTTGGGGATGAAAGACTGGAACAGTCGATCACGGACCTAAAAAATTGCACCTAAAAAGCCATCTGCAAAATACCTGCTTCGGCTCGACGTCAAAATACGGGCGGAAATAGTCTATCCGGCCGTAGGCATTGAAGGAGTCCTTGATTTGCTTGCTGCCCGCTTCCCAGACCTGAAATAAGGTTGGTTTGCTTGTAAAAATGACTACAAACCATATGACCGAGCTGGGCATGGAGATTCTCGGTAAAAGCGGGGTTTTGGGCATTTTGCTGGGCGTCGCCGGGGCTGGATGCGGTCCGTTGCCGTGGCTCACTGTCCGAGTACTGCATCTGAAAGCAAAAAAATGCTTATATTCGTCAAAATAGTCTTTTTCAACTTTAGAAAACGCAAAACAATTTTCTAAACTTGAGCAAAAGCTTCATGACTTGGACAACCATGCCACTCCTATCAACGATAGCCTTATGTAGCCTCTTAGGAAGCAAGCCCCGAATTTCATGTCGGTAAGCGTTTAGATACAAATAAATTTTTACAATATTTCTATTTATAAACGAATTAATTAAATTTTGCCTTGTTATAATTACATTTCCAGAAGATGAGCGAACGGCAAATGCCCAGTATATTCAGCGATTGTGATGAGCTGAAGCAGGTGCGCTTATTTTGCTGCTATTATTCCATTTGTTTTAGGTGTACGACAAGTGCTTCACGGACTTTTTTCAAAAATTCATCATGCCCAATTTTCGACATCAATACGCGATCAACCCATGCGAGAGACTACACGAGGCTTACAGTGAATGTGTTAAAGAGGTATACTTTCGTCATGGTTTTCGCAAGTGTTGCTTTTAGCGCCTTGACAAATCGAAACTATACGACATTGATCTGGACGAGCTGCGTAAAGAAGTGTTAGGAACGGCCGAGGAGAAGTTGAAGCCTGATGAGCCAAAAAAGTAACATGGTCCCCCAGATTTTCTCTCTTGCTACCGCTCCCACAACGAGGTCTAATCTCGCACTTTGCAATACGAGGTCAATGTTCCCTTCGATTCCTGAGACTTTCATTGCTTTGTACATTTCTTATTTGCTTTTTGTGCACTAATAAATCTAGTCGTTTCGATTGCATTTATGATACTGCGGTTTTATGCCGTGTAAATCTACTGACTTTCTATGCATTTTTCTGGTTTTGGATCAATGTCACAGCTTTTAGATGTCGGTGTACACTCAATATGTAATGAAGCCGGCAAACGCCTTCACGGCGGATTTGATACGGGCAGTGCCCACCTTTGTGGCCCTTCGGCTTTCATGGGCCCATAATACTCCAAAGGTATATATAATCTTTATTTGCAATGTTTTTTTTTACAGAGTCTAGGCATGGAGAAGTTCATCGAAGAGCACCTTCCCAAAATTAGGTACGGTCTTTTCGATTGCAACCAGAACGTTTTCTTAGGTCAAACAACCCAGACGTGAAATATTATCTGCATCGTTCTTACACGGACTTTGACCCCTTCGTTGTTGGAGAGTAAGTAAATTTTGGTTTTCTAAGCACTTATTCAGGTACAAATGGAACCGCCATCGTAAGAAGCGGGTGGACTTCAAGCACGAGCTCCAGATTCTCGGCATGGTTGAGGAGATGATGGCACATACCGGCGACTACAGAGAGGGTATGCAAAATGTGCCTTATTTTTGACATTGTATTTAGGTCTACGGCGAAGAGTTCAGCAACGATTGCCCAGGGGTCAAGAGATCTGGGACACTGAAACGATGGGTCATGATGTTTTTGAAGTAAGTACCCTTTGCTTTTCTAACCCAACGGTGGCAAACATTTTCCAACGACTTTTTCAGGTGCACAGCAAGTGGAAGGCGGATGCCGAAGACCTGAAGCGCCAGAAGACCAAGGAGCACCCGCATTTTGTCTACAGGAAGTACCCAAAATAAATCGACTCGTTATCCCTTTTTGAATCGTCGCATAGTTGAATTTTTAGGTGGAATAAATGAAGCAAATCAGCATACGTCCCAAACTATTTAAAAGAGCACGGACAATAACACATCATTTATATTATGTATCTTTCAATATTGCTGTTCGCTATCTTACCAATTGAAGGTAGTAGTCGCCGGGGATTCTAAAAAGATTTTTCAGTTGTAAATGCCGTTCACGTTTTCGGAATTAACGTTGTCAAAGAAGAGTAGGACCTTTACCCCCGAATATCCATCTTGAGGCTTGCAGAGAGCGCTCGCTTCAAGAGCTGCAGGATGGGGATCTGTTAACAGCCTACTTGGTTGCAGATAAGTGGGGTCGACCGCGTTTTGGAAAATCTGGTGCTTAGAACTAGCGTCAAGGTCTACGCATCTGAATACGATACGTGCAACTATGACAGGAGAAACGTGCACCTTTCCGCGCGCCACCGTCATCGCGATAATGTCAGCAACATCTTGTTGCTCTACGGCCAGTTGGTGGGGAATGGTAGGATATATTAATACAACTATGATTTTAGAAAGTTTGGGAGCCTCCGGAAGGGCCGGTGCAGCTATGCGCGGACACGCGGGACAGCATCCCCGGCGAGAACTGGGTGACCGTGAATTATAGTCAGTTTTGTGGCGTTTTGCGGTTATTCGGGGTTCTGGAATATATAGATTTACTCCAGATTTTCCCTTTTTTCAACTTTTCGCTACATAATTTCCTACGTTTTTTAATGGGTTGTTTCTTGAAATTGTAAGTTTACGTTGCGATCCAATTTACAGGCATATCTGAGCTCATATAGAAAAAAAATTAGCGTTACCCCGATAATACTAATGAAGCAGTTTCTTTCCAGACTCGTGGACCATTTTGATCTGGATAGCCGTCGCCTTGGGCTCGTCGATGCTGAGCGCCCTCTGCACGGGGCTGAACATCGGCTTGATGTCGCTGTCCATCGACGTCCTGGAGGCGATGAAGAACCACGGGCGCGGCCGAATCGTCCTCTACACGGAGAGCATCATCCCGCTGCGCCGAAACGGCAATCTCCTCATGTGTTCCATTATCATTGGTTGGGCCAATCCTTGCATCACCTCTCTCCAGCAAACACTTTAGTGAACATGCTGAACGCGCTGGCCTTTAACCACGTCTTCGAGAGTCTGGATCTGCCGGTAAACACAGTGCTTTGGATGGTCAGGGCTTTGGAATATTCAGGACGTCCAGAGAATCATCTACACCGTGCTCTGCCCAACCGCGACGACGCTGATCATCGGCGAGATTCTGCCACAAGTCATTTGCGCAAAGTGGGAACAAAGTCAAATTACAAGCGATTTGCAGGCATGCCCTATTCGTCGGTTATTACACTCGCCATGTGACACATGCCCTGCTCCTCGTCACCTATCCCCTCGCCGGCCCGTGCGCCTTCATTTTGACGATCATCGCCGGCGCCGAGCCCAAGGAGGCCTACGATCGCGGGATTCTGGCTGGTGCGGTTGAAAACAATAATTTAGCCTTATTTTCAGGACTTTTGGAAGAGCAACGGAAGGGCGAAGACGAGGGCAACTGGATTCTGACGGTTCTCAAAAAAATTGCCCGAAGATTTTTGGATTTAGTTGATGATCAACACCCTGAAGAATATGGAGAAGACGGCGGCGGACGTGATGGTGTCGTGGGACAAGGTCTTTTCGGCAATTATTCGGCCAACTTGAGAAGTTTTTAGGTCAAGAAGCTGTCCGCACATGAAAAGCTGGACGACGCGCTGTGGGAGAAGATCAGCCAGATGAAATACTCGCGGTTTCCGGTGATGGATGGTGAACAAGTGGGTTAAATCCAAAATTACTCTCAAAAATGAAAATGAATTAGGAAGGAAAACTTTTTTAGGTGATAGCCATGCAATACACAAAAGATCTGATGGCCGTGAAAAGCAAAGATTTTGACGGGCTCACACTCGAGTCGGTCGCCTGTCTATGGCATAAAAGTCGACTGGTAGGAAGGCTTCAGCCCGAAAACATCGCCATCTTTAGTTTCGAGTCGTCCTACACGACACACCAATCCTTCCACTGCTCGAAGAAATGCGAAAGGGAATGCCGGTGATGCTTGTCATCCAGTTCGTTCAGGGGAAGATGACCATCGTGGGGCTGATGACACTGGAGGATATTTTAGAGGAGGTGGGGAGACTCAATTATTCAATTTCTTCGATTCTTTTAGGTGATGGGCGAGATTCGAGACGAGAAAGAGAAGGAGAAGGGCGCTGTCACCCATGCCGACGATCGAAAAAAGCCCAGCAATAAACCCCGGAAAAGTCACCAATAATGCCGACGAATAAACTGTGAATAACGTCGTAACTTGTATCAGTTCTATGCCAAGTGAAAACGAAAAGGATGAAAGCAAAGACGATTAACTATCCCGATAATTTCCAACATCTCGTGAAAAATGGGTCTCTAACAGCTATGCTAATTTTCTCAGAGGCTACCGAGCCCTTTTTCGTGAAAAATGGCTCTGTGATAGCTATGCTAATTTTGAGAGAGAGCCAGAGAGAGAGAGAGAGAGAGAGAGAGAGAGAGAGAGAGAGAGAGAGAGAGAGAGAGCCAGAGAGAGCAAGAGAGGGAGCCAGAGAGAGAACGAGAGAGGGCGAGAGCGAGCGAGAGAGAGAGAAAGCCCGAGAGAGAAAGCCAGAGAAAGCCTTTCCGAGCCTTTTTTCGTAAGCCAAGCCGACAAAGACAAGCCGACCAGCCAATCCCAAGCAGCCGAGCCGACGAAGTCAAGCCGACGAAGCCGACCCGAAGCAGCCAAGCCAATCCCAAGCCAAACCAAGAATGCAAGAGAAGCCCAAGCCAAGCCAAGCCCAAGCCCAAGCCAAGGCCAAGCCCAAGCCCAAGCCCAAGCCAAGGATCCGAAGCGAGAGGCTGCTAATGTAATTTACCATTTAGGATTTAATTTACAATAAAAATTTGAATATGAACGTTGTTTATCAGGAATTGGCGATTTTTGGCTTTCGTTTTATCTCTTTAAATTATACTTGAAAAGCCCGCAGCCGCCAACGGCTACGCCAACGGTACTTTCATCTCGCCTTAAAGGGCTGCCGACGGCATGTGTCGATCCCCCCATCAACAAATTGGCAAGTAGCCAACAGGGCAGAGAGCGCGCCCAGGGGGGAGGCGCAGAGACATTTTCTTTCCCGCGCGTAATCGATTGCATTATGCCGCCCCTATCCCTTTAAGAATTCTATTAATTAGGGCGCAAATGTTCGTACCCGCGAGAACTATTATTTATCGGTTTTAGGCCTTTCGTGAGCTTTGTGTTCTTGTACACCCGCTGGAGACCTTATTGTCAGCTACCACGCATCTGGCAACACCATCTGACCGCTCCCAAGAACCTATCCGAGACGGCCGGGACGAGGCTAAATTACACGATTTTCAAGCGCTCCTCGCCGATCTTGCGCGGACACGTGGAGAATATTGCCGTAAGTTGTTGGTTTTTCTTGGCGACCGCTCTGCCAAGCCATATTACGCTTCCCACTTTGACAGCCTGCCTTTTGATCGCCGTTGTCACGATTTCGTTGTCCTAGATATCTTCGCGTGATACGAAAGCTTCAATCCGAAATGGTGACCAGGTGGTCGTATGGTGTGCTGATGGATACTTGTGCCTCGGCAATGAAGAATTGAACGTTTCGCCGACTCCGCAGTTGCTAAAACTGACCACCGGTAAAGCTCCGTTTGAGTTCTGAAACCACATCTAGCGGAAAATCGCTGCTTCGTGTCGGCCGACTCGTCAGTGAGGCTTGCCGATTGCCATGGCAATTCGTTTCCGGGTTTCCAGTTTCGCCAACCCAAGAAACCCAACGAGGGCGTATGTTTTTATCGTTTTGACGGGGTGTCGATTGAGAAATGAAAAGTTTGCCTACATTACCTATTTAGCGCTATGCAAGGATGGGCCTTTACCAGGGCATCAACACGCTTGTATCTCGAGGAAAATATGTGCTTGATTCGGACAAGAAGCGGTTCTATGGTATCAAGGTTGGTTCTAATCAAATAATTTAGAGTGCCCCTGTTGTTAGGCGCGTTTTTCACGTAGCGATCTTTAACTAAGCTAAGCATAAACTAAATACAGGTTGTTTTTGCGAAAACCTTATAGAACCTAAGCAACGGATAATCATTTTTGCTCTAGATGGGCACCGGTGCCGCGGTGGAAGTTCTTCCAAAGTGGCAAATAATGTCAGTCATAATGGTGGGTCTCCCTCTCGGCGTGTCCATCAAACTGATTTTAGGTAAAATTCGACTTGAAGTTCCCTCTCGGTTACCGCTTCGCCGAGGTCATCGATCTGACCCACAAATTCATGATCGATGGAGGCGTCATGTATTACGAGGGACGTTCTCGGGCACTCGATGTCTATCTACTTGGACAGCGACTGAAAATCACAGAAAGGTAAATTGGGTCGTCTAATGCAATGGTAAGGACGACAACCAACATCAATCGCATTACGGAGACATTTTCAGGGATGCGCTGCCTGCGCTGCCCTGTCAAGGGTTCCGATTACAGTCCACCATCACGGATTTGAGATGAAGTCCAATCATCACATCGATCTTGTGGTAGCATTTTTACGTCCAATCTTCATCTTTTGCCGTTTGGAAAACGGACCGACATTCCTAATTTGACGTTACAGTCCGAAAACATCGTCGAATTGCTGGATGGGATCCCGTCACCAGTGGCCCCCTAGATGCAGTGACGGTGCCGTGGACCGACGACGCTCCAATGCACAAGCGAACGGCCTTATATAAAATCGTACATGTGATTGGGTCTTTCTTGTGTGTATGTGATTGTGATTGGGGATTTATTGCTGGGTGATTGAGTCTTTCTTCGAATAAAAGGTTACCGAAACTTATTACAGTACCAGCGCCCAAAACCCGCTTCGCGGGCCTTGGGCGCTGGAATGCTGCCTTTGCATAAGAAATTTGACTTTCCGATAGCTCGGGTCCTTCGGACCCCCTCTCCCCGGCCGACCACACGCGCGCGGTGCAACTTGCAAGAATGAAGAAATTTCTATTTTTCACATTATGCAAATTACCCCCAAAAATGAATAAAACCGGCTCTAACTTTGTAAACTTGTATTTTATCAAAATTCTGAAAGCGCCATTGGAAACAGAGGGGTCGATTTCCCCAAGCGACGGAGAATTAGAACATTTTATGCACGGGAAGGCCCTCAAATCGGGCCTTGAAAGTGACATCCACACACACACACACAGTTACACGCCAAAATTATATAAGGTAGGATATCACAGTCAAATGGCGTGGGGAAAGGCGGTGGGCGAGAGCTCAATTGAAGGAGTAAAGCTAGCGTAATGACCTTATACATAGATATTGCACAAACATGAATCTTCTGGAAATCACACAGAAATCCGTTAGTTAGAAAATCCGGTACTTATCAAGTTGGGGGGGGGCCACTTTGGGCACTTATTAGGGGACACTTTTTTATCCCTTTTTGGAGTCTATCTGGGGTATTTTTTGGCGCTGAGTGCATAGAGAGTAGCCACAGCATGCGAAACCGTCGGGTTTATCCAGAAGAACCGCGTTAAAATTTATTAATAAAAAGTGTACTTATGCAAAATTTGAGGCTTGCCGCATTGTCAGGCAAGGTGGGCCGTCGCTTCGGATGGGCTGTCGCTCCACTCTTTCGAAATCGGGGCGCCTGGCCGCTTCGCGCGCCTCGGGCGCCCCGATTTCGAAACCCTGTACGAGCTCGCACCCATCCGAAGCGACTAGGCCCCAGGTGGCACGAAGCCTTATTTTTAGGTTAATACCGGGTGTCTGCATCTCTAAATCTTAACAAACGTTTAGATAAGTGTATTTTACTACTCTGATTTTGTTATATTCGAAACCAACACAAAAAACTAGCCTAGAAAGACTCAAAAAATCGAAAACCAAAGTGCCCCCCAACTTGATAAGTACCGAAAATCCATTATTAGTTTAAACAGAGCAGAGAAACCGGCTTACATACACAAGCAATAAAGTTTCGTAGCTCTGCCACCCATATTAAATCGACATTAATTCTGCAGACCCGAGAAAAGCCATTAAAGGGACACCGACGGCATAGGTCGATCACCCCTGATCGACTCTTTGGCACGTAGCCAACAAGGCAGAGAACACGTGCAGCGGCGAGACGCAGAGACGTTTTCTTTATGATTACTTATGCCGTCGTTATCCCTTTAATCCTGTTGCTGTAAATGTACAGGGTGGCTGAAAAGTTCCCGCCATTTTTATGACAGTTCAATGGATCAGTTCATAAAATTTTAATGAGGTAGGGAGTTTAGGGTAACAGATAGTTTAATTGGTGCCTAATGAACAAATTAAAAAACCGTCGAAAATATTCACAACTTCCATCAGAGGCCTCAATCCAAAACGCGCATGCATGCCGTGGTCGCGCGAACTGCCACATGGATTTCGATCCATTTGACCATTCTCCCCCCCCTCCCTGGAATAAACTTTTTCTGCACCACCACGAACTACAACAGGGATAAACGATTTATTAGCCAGAGTATCACAGTATATCACAGTCAAAATGGCGTAGGAAAATCGTTGAGTGAGGAGTTATGCGAAACTGGAAAATTAAAGCTAGCGTATTGACCTTGTACATAATTATGCCACAATCACGAATCTTCTAGAAATCACACAGAAATACGTTAGTTAGAAATTCGATTATTAGTTTATAAAGAGCAGAGACACCGGCTTTAGATCAATGGTTGCTTCTCGGCAGACGACTTGGCCATTGGAGTGATGGTGATCAGGCGTTGGGCCGGCGACTTTGTCCGGAAGGTGACGTAGGTGTACAGCACGGAGCCAAGCACACTATACAAAAGTAATTAAAATTGTAAATACAGAATGCACCTGATATTGATTCCCAGGAAATTCGTCCAGGAGAAGACGTAGTCACCGCTGCTGAACATGCCGGCGTAGGTTACGACGAGATTCTAAACGACTAGCTTCAAACTTCCAGTGGGTCGAACCTTAATCGGGCCAACACAGGTCGTCGTCAGTGCAGAATTGTAGTTTGTGCAGACCACAAGCGAATAATTCAGGACGAACCTAAAACGTTGAATTCAAAGTCAATGGTAATAAAAGTACCCGCAGACACAAGAGACGGCAAAGCAAACCCAAGCGCCGGGCACCATTTGTTCGGATGAAACGAATGCAAACGTCTAGAAGCAACTGTAACCTCAAAGGAAACTACAAACCTTCTCAAATTCATCTGTATAGATCAGCAAAAACGTGGCCGGCAAGAACATGAAGAGGCAATTGTAGTACATAATCCCGTATTTTCCCAAATCCTGAAAAAATATTGGTTAAAAAAAAAGAAAATTAAACCTTGGCTTCCAACTTTTGCTTCGTGTAGACACCTTGTGCCGCGGTGAAGATGTCATTGAGCAGGATCAAAGTGTACCTAAAACATCAATACTTTATAAAAAAACATGATTCGCACCCATAGCTGTCGAAAGCCAAGTCGTAAAGTGCAGCGACGATCGATCCACCAATCATGAGCCCAATCGAAATTTTGACAGCGAAAGAAGACTTCACCCTTAAAGAAAAAACGTCAAGTCAAAGGAGAAACACCATACCCAAGAATGTAGTATTCCAAGATCATCGTCATCAAAATCGAGAAGCGCCGAAGGACGGTAAACATCGGTAAGCTAAAAAACCCAAAACTGAAAGAAAAATGTTGTCACCAACTTGATTGCCTTCGTTCCACCAAGACCCGTCACCAAGTTGAGCACGTAAATTAGCGGCAAGGGGAAGATCTAGAAATGACAGTTAAAAACCCGGGCATAAGTCTCACCTTTCTAGGCACACTGCTGTCGAGTTTCGGAAAAGACACCAGGCGAAATAACCGAGCAATGTAGAGGATGACGATCGTCGCCAGCATCTGGCCTATCCCCACCGACAAAGGCGAAGGAAAACTAAGGGAAACTATTAGAAAAAGTAAAATCGGTTTACCTGTAGTTAGTAAGAAGAATCTTGTTGACGAAGACCACTAATATACTGGCTAGACCGAAGAAGACGGCGGACGAGATTCGAGCGAGAAGGGAGGCCTGTGGAGGGTCCATGATCTTGCCTGGGCCGTGCCTGAAAAATTGAATATATGAAAAATCTATATTGAAGCATGAAGCTCATAGAAAATGGAAAGCGAGCAATAATTTATGGTATTTTCTGAAAGAAGATGGCCAGTAAGAGGAACTAAATTTTTCGAGAACCGGAAGCGAAAAATTGAGAAGGAAAGAAAAAGGTCACGAGCATGCCAGTTTCTGCCCAAATGACCGTAGCAGTGCCTAAAATGCACCTAACGATGACTGGAGGGTTCGCGCACTCACGACGTAAAATAAAGTCTTGCAAACGTCCAAAATAGCCTTGATAAAACTAAAAAAATGCTGCGCATCAAACTCCAAGCCTAAATTTATAAGTTCATCATTAATAATGAAATCCAGCTAACTGTTAAAATTCTTTATAGATAAAAACGGGTCCAAAATGTTACAAACGCTACCATCTGCCATGATGCTCCGAGATTCGTGCCAATTTCTCGGGGCACAGTCCCATGATCCCCGAAGAGAATGCACGTGCTGGCCGGGGTCACCCTTGAGGGAGCCATAAAGTGATCCCCTTTCTCAGAGAAGACACACGCACTCCCACGAAAACCCTTGCTAAATACGGGGACCACGACATGACAATGGTATGTGTGGCAGCACTGGTATGGGTGGGGGAAAATATTTTATTGCAAAACCAAGTCCATAGAATCTGTGTTCCTTTAGCGGGGGTAAGGAGGGGGATGAGAACGGGAAGATGGAGATTTCCAATTACCGGAGCTAGTTATGAATGCAAAAGGTGGCCTAGAAATGCGCTCGGGGGTCGAGAAACATCATGAATCACACGCGCGACGGGATGAAAGATGGGTCTGAGGACGTTTTTTAGCTTCCGTTAGTTCGGGTGGCAAGAACGGCTCCGGTGGAAGGTCTTTGGACAAAGGGTAGTCAAAAACAACAAAAATGCAGCTTCTTTCGCATTATCGGGTGAGAAGGGAACCGAATTTTGCCCCCTTAGCCGTTTTATGAGCATTTTAGGTTAAATTTAACTAGATTTCACTTAGACAAAAGATCCAAAACCGTCAAAAAAATTTACACCAATTTTTTTGGTCGAACAGCAGATTTTTTGTCTTTAACAAAAAATTCACGAGTTTCTAGGCTTAGAAATAGTTGAAAAGTAGTGTAGAAACAGTTGCCCTAATCAAAAAGAAACAAAAATGGATCCTAAATAAATGGTTTTCTTCATGACAATAATGCGAAAGAACAAAAACGCTAAGCAATTCGACTATGGCAAATAATTTTTTGGTTGGCCACTAAGTATGCAAGTCAAGGTGAGCACCTGATCACAAATGACGTCTTTGTACAAAACACACAAAAATGCAGTGGATGAATTTTTTAGAAAACTAGAACTTTTCAATAGCTACTAACTAAAGTTATTTAGGGGCACCGGGAGAAAGCAATGTTGGCTCGATATGTCAATGCCGGTTGATAGAGTTGCTAAGGGGTGTTTGAGGTAATTGCAAAATCAGGTAATGCCATATGTTAGGGACTTTTCGATGTGGAAATGAAATTCGTTGAGGGCTTCCAGCAGCTTTGAGGTGTGCGTCATATGAGGGGCCGAGCGGAGGAAAGACATCTAAAATTGGTTGTTGTACTTTCTTAGGATTTGTCTTCCAATACCCTTTAATTTTTTTTGCCCTTTAAACTTTAATTTTTGTTTAGCTTTTTATCAGTCTTCAATGCATTCGTACTTCCGCTTTTTCACCTACCTCATCATACAATTGGGCGGTCACGGGCGTCCAAGAAAACAGTTGCAGAAGCCCCGCTAATACGTGATCTCTGACGGTGATCAAGATGAAAACGTGGAATTTCCCATCTTTCCCCAGCGCCGATTTGTCAGAAATACGCCGCACCTATAAATCGGATTAAAGAATAGGCTAGCAACTTACCAATTTCAACACGTAACCGATAAGCTCTTTCTGGCCGCGGGACAGCTTTTCCGCATCGTTGCGCCGGAACAGTTCAAAGAACCAATTCGTGACTTTTTCTAGAAAGAAACGATACTAAAATGATTGCACAACTTACCAACATAATCCCAGGGGTAATTTTGCTTGAATAGCCGCGAAGCTATTGAATCTTGACGACCAAACTAAAAATCGTTTAAAAGTATCCAAAGTTTCTCCACCTGGAATAAGGCCTCCAACGTCGGGACGAGACCTCTCTCGCCGCAAAGAAGGCGGGCAAGTTCACTTTTCGCTTCCCTAAGAAACGCATAAAGGTGTTTTTGCTGAAAACCACTTTTCAGAGTAGAAATGCTTGACGATGCTGTTCACCGAGTCGCCGAGTTGCTGCTCAATCTCCAGCATACGTTGCTCTAAATCAAGGCCGTTATACTTTAGAGGACCACTAACTCTTGGTGCGAGGGGCTGAATCCCGTTCGGATCTTCCGGAAGAAGGGCTTCTTTCCCTGGTCACCGAGGCGTCGCGCTCCATGCGTCGACCGCGAGCCGGCGAAAATGCGCCCGAGCCTAGAACAAAATGCTGCCGTTACAATTGAAAAATCTCCATACCAAGATCAGCCATTTCGGAGTTGAACTCTTGTAGCGGTTCAGCGACGAGCAGTCTAAAATGACAATTCAGAAAAGCTGTAGGAAAACAACCTTTCCAAACTGCCATCATCAACGCCCTTTCCAAACCATCTGCCGCAGGGGAAACGATACATTTGGCCCGTGATCTCGTTGCGAACGACAATCTAAAAAAAGGTTCGTGTACAATTTAGGAGGGCTTTCACTTACATAATCCAAAAACCACTTTGACGGCCGTTCATCTTCGCTGGAATGCCCGATGCGCAAAGTCGACAAGATTCCCAAATTGCGGTGCTAAATGAGGGTAGGATGTCTTTCTGGTTAAAAATTACATCAAATTTGAAAAGCGGCGTGCCCTCCGGAAGTCTGATGGTAGGAGTCGTGGCCAAGCTGCCTTCAATGCACATCCAAACGGCCGGAAGAGCCCCTCGCCACGAACCCGTCACCACAACCACTTGATAATCCATTTCTGAAAGAAATATAATTTATTATATTTTCAATTTCTATAAAAATTACATCAAAAACTATGCAACATAAAATACTATAGAAAAACCGACTAGTCTTTGTGAAGGTGTTCGTGAAGCAGCGGTAGTTGGCCGCATTCAACGAAAGGACGTGGTACAGGAATTGTTCCTTCTCGTCCTCGCAGCGCGCAAATGAGTATGGCTTGTAAAGATCCCTAAAAAATTAATGTAATGCTGATTCTGGAATTGGGCCTACCTTGTCAACTGGGTATTTGACAGTAGGGCGGCTAGGTGGCGGTGCAGCAATTTTCTCTCGAGGGCCAACCGCACGAAAGAGCGCGCATATCCAATGTCGGTCTTGATCTCGGCCATTCGGACGACATTTCTAAAGCAAAAATATATAATTTCAAAGCGAATTGCCTTCGCAAAACATGTTAGGAAAAAAGGAGAAACCTAATTTATCCCTTTACTTAGAACCACCTAGTAATGTAATAGCAATTATTTTAATAAGTTTTTTTTTATAAAATTTCGGTATATACAAACTCGAGAAACTACAAAAAAACAAACAGAAAATCTTGACATTTTGACCGAAAATTGGCCATTTTTCGCCCAAAAGTCAATATTTTTATGTTTTTTTTCCCAAAAAAAGTAAGTTGCTTACTTTAAATCGTAGGCAATGTGTGTGGGAAGAGATGGGAGCACGACACGGCCATCTGGACTTCTGGGCCTAGAAATAAAATACACAATAGAGAATTTCACGGATTTTAGCTACCTGCTCTGACTTCGGTGACGCACCCTGCGCGGAGAATTCTCCACCGATGCCGTTCCATCTCTCGACCCAGAGCTCGCACCAAAACCAGGCGTTGAAAAGTCTAAAGGGAAAAACTATACGGTTAAAAGTAACTTTTTGGTGAGGCAAACAGGCGCAACCTGGTAGCGCGCTCCAGCAATCATTCCTAGCCGGAAGCAAAATTGGGTGAAAAAGCGGGGAATCTGGTGAAGCCGTATCACACCGAAGCGTTAACCATGCACACTACACTTCACAACACTCACCACTAACAGAAGAACATTTCTTCAGCCCACGTGGCCCATTCACAGGAAGCGGAGGACGTGCAAAAGCGCTCGGTATAACGGCACGGACCGGAGATGGCTCGCGCTGCGTCGGCTTTGCCCGCGAAGCCTCTTGTATCCGGTCACACAGGAAATTAGCGGCTTTCAGGAAGTTTTTACTCCACGCCGGTGTCTCTTCATTCTCTTCTTTCATCGCCAATTCCTTCTGGATACTTTCCACGAGATCGCTGAGCGCCGAGCTGGCCGCAGGAGTCGTGGGATTTCCATTGAGGTCAGGCTCGTCGGAAGTTGTTGGAGTCTCGGGTGCGGGTCGCGGGTCGGCTGACGGAGCGCGACTTCGAGTGCCGGGATACGGGACGGCTCTGGGTCTCGATGGAGCACGAGGTGGGCGGAATTGACGCTCCGAATCGCGTGACTGGCGTCCATTTGCTACAATACAACGGTATGAAATATTCTAGACAGCCATTAAAATTTTCGGAAAGGACATCACGATCCAACTTTGGAAGAGCGGTGATTTTGCAGTATCGGGGGGGGAATAGAATTTTTCGACGGATCCGGATATCCCTGGTAATGCAATAGCAACAATTTAATGATTTTTTAGTAATTTAACGATATGTTAAAAATGCAAAAACTATCGAAAAACGAAGAAACAGATTTAAATTCAAAATTTTGGTCACAAAATCTGTTCGTATATTTTATCTTCTATTTAGATTCGAAAAATTGGATCCTCAGGTTACCCCCCCGCCCCCCGATAACGCGAAAGCACCAATTTTACAAAATAATATCACCATTCATAATTCATGAAATTCTAAAAACTCGTGCCAACAGGCTTCTTAAAATTAAGCGACAACACGGGGAGGGAGAAGCAAAAAGCAAAGGAGCCAGCGACACAACGTCCATAGCAAAAAACCGGCCCCACTACTCTCGGAATTAAGCTCAATTTCCGGCTGCACAAACAAAGCAAACGATTTCCGGCCACGCTACATTGCCGCCAACGCGCAAAAACTAGGCCGGCGCTCGACCAAAATGCGAGCACCCCTTACGCTGTTCGAATCGCTTCCGAAACACGTGCCAAGCCAGTGCTAAAAGAATCCCGGTAAATAAAGAAAGAGGAGGAGAAATAAAACCCGAAAAGACCTAAATGGTTGCAAATATTTTTTTAATATTATTATGCATTAACAACATCGAAGCGCACCAGGAGTCAACATAGAAGAGGCCGTCATCCGGTGCCTCTCGCCGTTTTGCACGGATTTCTCCATGTCCTGATGGGCCAACACGTACGTCCACAACGCAGATTTTCCCTATTTTGAAGTTTTATGATCTCTTTTACAGCAATCTACCTGTTTCTTGATCATGCCGTGGCTGAACACCCTTTCCAACAGATCGCAAAACGCGGCTACCTAAAAAAAGTACACTCAAATAAGTTGTAGCAAACAAACCAGGGTATTTTCTTCGACACCACCGACGCCAGCCTCGGCACCATGACCTAGCAGTACAGCTTCACGCCCCATTTTGTTTACCAGCATTCTTTTCGTTTTTCCTGAAATTAAATTTAGAATTAATAAGCGATGAGTATACCTTTAGTTTCTTTCAGAAGTTGCTCGACGAATTTCAGCTGCTGCTCCTTGTGGGTCGGGGCGTCGGTGGCTACCTGGCCGTAGATTGAAATTGGCCTGACCGTGGCGGCGGATCCGGAATTGCCGAGGCCTTCAAGGAGACGTGGGTTTTTGAAGCGTTGCCTCCAAGGTGAAGGCGCAGCTGCGCCAAGGGGTCCGTTCAAAACGCTTCCGTTGAACGATTCGGGCCAACATCCCTCGTAGCTGAAATGCATTTCTACACAATTGTTTATTTTTTTGATACATTACATTAATTAATTTATAATGTTTTCGCATTCCCAATCTGACAAATATTATTTTCCCCCACGTCATCCCATTTTCAAAGCCTTACCGCATCGGCGGGGCGCCCGACAAAATGTGAGGGGCCGGCACGACATAATCCACGGCTTTGGCCCTCTTCGAAATGAGCTCCTCGGACTGGGCGAAAGGCCTTGTTGTATCAGCCGTCGGTGTGCGGACCATCGATTGTCCCAGACGATGTTGGAGCTCCTAAGGATATCATAGACCCGTAAAAATGTTAGCCAACCTTGATCCGAGCATCAAAAAGCAATAAATTTTCGTCCGACTTCTGCCATTGAGATTTTATCTTGTTGTCGATGAAGTCAGTGAACATCTGGTGATCAGATTTTGGAGAATGACATTTTTTTATACCTGAGTCTCCAGGAACGCCGCAAGAAAAGCTAAATGACTGTCAGGCTGATCGGACAGGAACGAAGCTTTATCGAAGCTAACCACACTATCTCGCGATGCTTCCCAAGATTCCCTAAAAATCATTCAAGATGATTTTTATTTAACTTACAGATCCTTAAACCCGGAACTTCCAACAACAAAATGTTCATATGAATACAGCATGCCGACCACTCTGTGGAGCACGGTCTCTCGCAGCGCATTCGAGAGTTTGACTTCCTAAAAAAAATCTATATAACGATCCGAATTTCTCACTTTAAAATAATTGGCATTCTGCGGGGAGTTGGTGAGCATTTCCGCACCGCTCAGCTCGCTTTCGACGACATTCAGGTCGATCGCCACACCAGCACGACGGGCGATTTCGCTTACCCTGAAAAGACTAATCTATCCTATTTTTCGTTTTCTTACCTCGACAAGGCACTGTCCTGCCCCATCAAGCTCTGAATCGGAAGCGGTGGTAAATTGCGAGGCCTCGGGATGGGTGGCTCGACTCGGGGCGGCGGTTGAGGCCCGTCGCCGTTCATCCATCCCTCCAGGGTATCCGCGTCAAAAGAACGCGACATTCGTTTGTAGGTCCAGTCACCTCTGAAAACAGCTTCAGAAAATCCCAGAAATTCTACCTCCTCCTCGTACTAATCGCCCGCATTTTCGGCGCATACTCTTCTCCATTTGCTGGAGCTGTTATCGTGGCGTCCGGATCTTCAACGGCGAGGTTCTCAGTGTCCTCGAGAAAAGAGAAGCTAAAATGGGTTTCTCGATTGAATTTATCAGCCTGCCGCTTTAAGATATTCCTCATTTCATTGCAGATATCCTTGTGCTGCGGAAAGGGTGGAACATCTTCCGGGAATTCTATCCGGCCCGTATCAACATCCAACACGCAAACGTTGGACTTAAATTAGGATGTAGTGTCTTTTGTGGCTACAAACCTGGAAAAGACTTTCCGGCAGTTCTTCTTCGTAAGAAAGCCCCATCACATAAGGGACAGGCGCCTCGATAAATTTGATTTGGGCGTATGGTAGAATTGGTGCATATGCCAAGGACCATCGGAATGGAAAAGAGAATGCTGACAACGATTCGCAGACCAACATCAACCGAGACAAGTCTAAAAATGTGTAAGATCCTGCTAACACCGAATTACCTTTCGAACACACCAAAATTTGGTGTTCAAGGAAGAAGCAGGTCAGCAGCCGGATAAATTTCTCAGGGGGTAGAAGCTCGAAGAGGCTGGACAGGGGATAGTCGAAAAACGGAAGTTCAGCAGCGCTAGGCCTTTGAAGAACCAGTGGCCGGCCGTCCATGTTCACCTAAAAAGAGAATTGAAACCAACAGGGTTGTATACTTTTAAAGTTGTCCCAGGAGATGGCAGTGGAACCTCGTGAAGCACCCAATAAAGATAACTCTCGATCGGCAGGCTGGATTTTTCACTTTTAGGCGCGAGCTAAACAAATTTTGTTTTATTTTGACACTATAATTTACCATTTCTACTACAGCCCTCAAAATAGCTTCAGTGATATAGAGCATCGGAAGTCGTGTAATCAAGCATATTGTTTTCGAACTGGAAAAAATGGGTTCTTTGCAATTTCATAAATATCTTACACAAAAAGCTGCTTCTGGGCGCCGCCATCGTAGTACGAGATTCGCTTCGAACGGTCGATGTTCTTTTTGCGAGGTAGGGTGTGCGTGCCTCCCGAGACGGTCCCTGTAATATGTCGTATACCCTTGGGAAATTTATTAAAAAAACCTGGAGCATGATGCGGCCTCCCTTCTCGCTCGCCCCTTATCGACTCGCTCCTCATCCCTGTCAACTCCCTGACGTGCTCCATTTGAAGCCGGACCATTTGCTCGCACACATTCGGGTCTGTGACTAGCTGAAAATTCCAGTGTAGGGTTCTTTGTTGCTTATCGTACCTCATAGAAAGTAATCGCCGTGCCATACACGCGGCTCCCATCCTCCTTCACGTTGACGAATGTATGCACCGTGGGACCGGACGGCAGTTCGCGTTCCGTGCAAAATCGGACACCCCGTGGCATGCATAACTGAAAAGCCTTTTAGGCCTGTTTCTTACAACATACGGCAATGATTTCTTCGGAAAACGCCGCATCTGATCTCTTATGAGGATAGTGGGCGAGGATACGGCCAGAATAGCCTCTGAAATATTTTTTCCAAACTGTGACACTAGACAAACCTGTGGAGAGGAGGTTTCAGCTGTTCCACAGTAGAGGTGCCTTCTCCGCTGGCCTCATATGCACATTCCGCCTACAATGATATCCATGTGAAAAATTCGACAATATACTTGTCGGTGGCACTTTTCTTTTCGGATATTTTTGGGATTAGCTCGTTTCAGCTGAATTTAAAATAGAAAAACGAGATCTGCATGACTCGCTTCGGTTAGTTCTAATCAATGATCTGAAAAAACCAGGGCCTTGGCAGTTTGCACCTTAGTTTCAGGATACCGGTGATCTGATTTGGAATGTGCTGCATTTTTGGCGCATCTGTCTGTGGATTTACTAACGATATTAGAGCTTAGATTTTATATTTTATAATTATCAGATCTTTTTCAACGAACCTGAAGCGGATATTCGTGTCCGCAAATGGCCACATAATCGACGAGGGTTGTCTCACTCATGGTCGTGGCTTCCCTCTCATAATGGGCCGAGGCTGGCTGCTCGCCTACAATCGGCAACGATTGGAAGCAGTTTTCAAGGTGCTGTCAATCACAGAAGCATGTGATTCGCCTGCTTGGGCCCTCTCGCTATCCAATGGGCACCCTTTGGCTCGATGCCCATTCGCCATCGTAGCCCTCTCGCGCTGTGAAGGGGGAGCCCTGCGGGACCCGCTCTTTGTTTTCTGTTTGCGCCCCGGTTTCGCAAGACGGAAGAACAACGTTGAATAAGTCGGCGCAACGCGTTGGTTTCGCCAAGTCATCTGTGACACGTTTAAATTGCTCATTTATAAGCACCCATCGAAGCCGAGGCTTCACTTCACAGTTCCTTGACTTTGATTCCTTTCCCGACCATCTTCTTCCTAATTATTGCCGTGAAAAAGGGGCGGCCTTGACTCATTTTATTGCCGATGTATCTTGCCCGGTAAAAACCTAGCTAGGATAGGGAATCTACTAGACAAAGGCCAGAGAAAAAGGTCTAAAAATTCAGGCGAACTCTCTGCACGTTTTTATTGCCTCATCATCCGCTGCTTTCGGTCTGTTTTCTATAGGAAATTGGTCGGCACAACTCTAATGATTCCGCCATATAATAAAAGCGCTAACTCATACCAGTTCATCAAAACCTTCCTCTCCTTTCCGTTACCTTAGCCAGTGGGACTTACCCTTTTTCAAGATCTTTAACCAATTGTGTGGGTCTAGCTGCATTAGTATTGTCATTTTGGGTTAGTTTGATGAAATTATAAGCAAAAGCCGATATAACAAACCCTTTATATCGTCTACGAATTTTGGAAAACCCGTTATTTGCGCGAAAGTCCAACATTTCGCCGTATCTGGGCCGAAAGGGGGGCTCTGTCTGCTCTTTGGACACCAGGCTCGGGACAACTGCCCTCTTGTTGTTGACAGCTTGTTTGTTTGGCTGGCCAGCCGATCAATGGCTAGACGCTCTATTCCCCACCCCCAAAACTCAGCTAATAAACTAGATAGTACCCGCGATCTCAGTTCGGTTAGTTGCTTTGTGCCCCCAGCTAAGTGATCAAAATGCCCGACTTCGCAGGTAAATTCATGCTTGTCACTTCCTGTCGCGCTTTTCGCCTTGCTTACGCACCAAAACCTCAGCACTAGCAATATTCGCGCAATACCCCCTTTGAAGTCGATTCACGGCAACGAAACATGACCTATTTTGGCGGTTGTCTAGGCGCCCCAATAACATTGCAGCCTCCCCTCCCGGCCTCCCCAATGCGTGGATCCTCAGGGACAGACCCAGCACTGTCTTGCATCATTATTTATTCGTAAAGCATTTCCGGAAATGCGTATGCAATCGCGCTTGTTTGTTGCCTGCAGTACGTGAAAAACGGCGCGCAAAAATACCCCCTTATCAGCCCCCCACGGTTTGCAGTTTCGCTCCACTACCAGTGTGTTTCTAACCATCTATTCAGCACATTCCCCTCTTATTGATGCTTCCGTTTCCAGTATAAAGCGGTTTTTTACAGATACTACATCCACCATGTCTCTTCAGTGGACGACTGTCGCCTTCATCCTCTATGCCGAAATCGCCGTCATCCTGATATTGCTGCTTCCCTGGATCAGCCCGGCGCTCTGGAGTCGCTTCTTCCGCAGTGGCTTCGTCAACGCCATACAACGGAATGCAAACGTAGCTTTCTACGCGGGAGTGGTTGTTCTCTTCATCCTCTTCGCCGACGCGGTCCGCGAGGTCCAGAAGTATTCCCACGTCGATGTTGATCTGAATGTGGTCCGACATGCTGAGGCCGACACCGTCGTCCACATGCGACTTTTCCGTGCCCAGCGCAATTTCTACATCTCTGGAATGGCCCTTCTTCTCTTCCTCGTCATCAAGCGTATCGCCGGTCTTTTGATGCGTGGAGCCCAGCTTCAAGCTTCTGCTGAAGCTGCCCTCCGCCAGGCCGACAGCGCCACCAAGACTGCCCGCACTCTGATGGATGCTGATGATTCCGGCGAGGAAAACAAGCAGAAGAAGGAGGCTGCCCGCAAGATCGACGAGCTCAGCAAGGAATTGAAGGTGTGTATTTGAATCCAAGCCCTTTCCAGAGAAGGTGTCTGGCCTTTCAAGCAATATAATTTTTATTTTTTTCAGAAAGCTCATGATGACCGTGATGCCGTCAAGAAACAGGCTGAGGGTCTTCAAAAGGAATACGACCGGGTTTGCGACTTGTTGGCCGAGGCCGAGAAGGAGCAGGAGGAAACCAAGAAAGATCTATAGATGGTAATATTCCTTTCTCTCGTTTGACGCTTTTTTAGTAAATTTTCGGCCCTCGAGCGACGAATAGAAGAGCCGGACGACTCTACGAGTACCCTTGATACAACCGCGACTACTGTGTTCTTCTTTTCCCCCTTCTAGCTACCGTCCATGTTCATCGCGACCAGCCATTTCTTGCGGTTTTGTCCCCTCGCACGTTTAATTCTCTGCTATTTAGCATCTCCATTCATTTGTGTTCGTTTTTGGATCGGAAGCTACTGTAATTATCCTATCGAGTTCCGGTGATAAAGTTTTTATTCTAACGCGGTTCGCTTGCACAAATAATTTTGTGAACATTTTTCTACTCGGATGTCTGCGCAACAGCGGTGGGTCCGTTGTTCTGGTTCGTGAATTTGATATCCAGTCGAGCCGCAGAGGCGGCCGTGGCCCAGAAGCGCCGCAGTACTTCGTCGTTTACATCGTCAAGCGACATTTCGTCGTTATGTGATCAGATGGTGAGAAATTTCCTTGATACCTATACAACCTCTGTTAGTCGCTAGCCCAATTGCCTTCTGAGAGCACGCAGCCCTCCTCGAGCTCGATGTTCTTCACCAGCACTCTTTCGGATACGACTTCCACTACTACCGATTCGACGTTAGTACATGGAACAGATCATGTACAGGAAGTACTCTTTAGTACCGCCCAGCCATTGCCAGAGCGCGCCTTCAACACCGGCCAGGATGTGCAAAAGTGGGAAATTACCGCGTCTGCTTTTCGACGATTAGGATATTTATAAGATAGCTTACTTAGGATCTATGAAGAGCCGATGCGCCTCTACCCAACTACTTTCCGCACTCCCCGCGCGAATGGGCTGCGCGTCGAGAAGGCTGTGGTTGGTTAGCTCTTTGGCCTCAAATTCGTCGCCAGACCGTCTGCGAATTCCCCGACCTCGGCATCAACGGGCAGCACCAGAAGCGCGGCGAGCGCGGCTCCAACAATCCGTGGCGCCGGTAGTTGATCAAAGTCGTCTATTAACGCCAATTTTCAGTTTTGGTGCCTTGCGCCGCATCTACGAGGTGGGCGGGATGATGTTGGTGGGCGACCGGAAGAAGCGGAACTACTCGTTTGTGACGGTAATCTTGGAAATGTAGGGGATTCGAGTGCTTACAGGCGGAAAGCACCCCTCCCCCGCCGCCGATTGGCCCTGAGATGACGCTGAACTGGGACCAGGAGCGCAGCTCGTTGTTAGGTAAAATTTGAGAATTGCGTGACTTTCTAGATTCAGATGAGCTGGACCTTGGGGCCGGTCGCCCCGCCGCCCTGCTCGCCCACGACGCCGCGCTGTTCATTGACGTGGGTCATAAAAGGTCGAGAGTGAAAAGTCCCTATCAATTGCACAAAGAAAATTCTTGTTTGCCGTCGCAAAAAATATGTGTTTGTACTGCACGTTTTATGGTTTTTAAAGAAAAAAACTTACAATTTTGCTATGAGTTGATACAAAAATATAGCTTTTTGATAAAAAGCACAGTTTTCGGCAAATTTTAAATGTCGAGCTTTTTTTAATTACGTTTTTCATTAGGTTTTTGGTTGGTTTTCCACTTCAAATATAACTAAATTTAAATAAAATCACTATTAAGAATCGTTATGAAATGGCTACGCTTGTCGGGGCCGATAAGACAGCGTTTAGGAGCTGATCAGCGAGGAGCGATTCGACGACTCTCTCTTGGACGTCTCGTCAGTCGAGGTTTCGGCTGGTAATAGCACTATCACGCACCAAATCGGCTCTTTTCTAGAGATCCCGGCGGGCGGATGATGGGCAACTCGAATGATCGTGCATTAATTTATCGACATCAATCTCAAGAATTCCGTGACTAGTATCTGGTGTGCACATTCGTTAAGAGGAATAAAGGCACTTTGCATTGGTATAGTATACTATGTACATGGGTGTGTACAGGTTTTTGGGAGGTACCCGGCATGGGGGGAAAGCGATTCGATGCTGCTTCTAGCAATACTTTGCGGGCACCATCGTGAGTATCAATGGGATGAGGATGAGACCGTGGAGGAGACCGATCGAAGCGACCTGAATCGGAAATAAACTGGCCGTTGTTGAAAGTTTCGCGCTTACGCTTCTTCTTAAGAGCGAATCTTTCTAATATAGTGTTTCTAGAGTGTTTTTTTACGCTTTCTAAAAGTAAAAACATTACGGATTTGTACTCAATTACAAAAATCAAGCTTCTTCGATAAAAAATGGCCGATTTTTGCCCGAAATGTCAAACTTTTTAATGCGGTCAGGTAGATTTTCCACTTGAATTCTAGTTAAATTTTACTAAAAACACGAAAATATTTACTTTTAGTATTAGACATTACGGGACAAAGAGGAAAAAATCCGCGAAAATTTTTTACTATTATTCTGTTGATCCTATAACAAATCATATACCTATTTTAAAACTCACTAAACAAACAGTCTTGGCGAATGAGGTAATCACGTAGATATCGACGAGGAAAAGCGGCAGCATACAAATTATCGTAGAGAGGCTCGCCTAAGGAAATTCAGCTTTTTTGAAACTTTGCCAACTTTAAAATACCTCAATCATTGGGCGGCCGACGGCTTGGAGGATTTGAATCAACCGCTCCTTCTTACCTTCCCTAAATCGATGATTTTGAAAAATAGCTGCTAACAAAGAATAGCCGTAAAGAGTAAAAAACGGAAATTGCCTACCATAGCTCCGTTTTTCGGGCCACATGGTGATGATAGCAGATGTGGGCGGAGAAGTCGACGGAGAACCCGATCGCCATCAGCACGTTGATCATCACGATCGGGTCGAGGCCGCAGCCCCAAAGCGAGAGGAACCCAAGCATACCTGAAATCATTAAATCTAGAATTTTACGGCGGTTTTGGCTACTCGCCGTCTAAACTAAAATTATCACTTTCTACCTCCCTCCCTCTATCTCTCTCTCTCTCTCTCTCTAGCTCCCTCTCTCTCTCATAGGGCAGTGCTAGCTCCAACTCACACGCCGACGTGCTGAGCATGGAAATCGAGGCGAGGCTCGACCCGAAAAACTCGGGAATCGACACGGCCGAGATGATGGTCATGCATAGGAAGGTGACGACGACGGCTTGGATAAGTTCGGCCTGAATAACTTGTTTTACAAGATTCTAACAAGACGCGAAAACACCCGATTTTGGTTTCATCCAGGCTTCAACGCTTCTACCATTATTACCTTGACGGAGATGATGATGTCATAGATGGTGGAGTCATAGTCGAAGATGGTCGTGGCATAGCGCGGATGTGCATCGACGAGCTCGCGGGTCCGCTTGACGATGGCCGCCCGGCGTGCCCAGTCGGTGGTCCCTGTGGGCAATGGGGACACTACAAGTCGACGCTCAACCACCGGCATTTCCACACTCACACCTGGGCTACACTAGGCTACGCTAGACTACGCTAGCCGACAGAAAAGTTGTTATGATTATTCCGGTGTTTTAGGCGTTTCCGGGTGTCGTGGGTGGTGGCCTGGGTCTATCGACGGGTAGGGTCATCGTTTTAAAGGGACAGTTCCATGAATTTGGGGGGAAAACTAGGTTCTAATGCAATATCGGGGGGAGGTTTCCATTCAAAATATGCCATAAATTTTAACAAAAAAAGACTGTGACAGACACGAAAAATGTCGCCCAAAATAAATGCGTTAAAATTGTTAGAACTGTCCCTCTAAAAGAAACTCCATAAAACATTCACCAACCTCTGCACTCGATCACAAAATTCGCCCCGTCCATCACCACCGAATTACTAGAAATAAGGCAATATATTTCTTTAGTAAAATCACGTACTTCTCCCCGCGATGCCACTGTATAATCTTCCGATCGGCGATCATCTTGTTTTCCAGGAATCTGGGCATAGTCTCATATGAAAGCGGCGCATCGTTTGTCGAGTTACCACTTTGATACTCCTAAAATCCAAAAGTTTTACAGATCGTCAAAATGTCAATTCCCAAGTAGTAAAGCTACCCTCGTAAAATTGGCGCAAAAAGTTGGTGGTCCGGCTCCGTCCGTAGCAGTGATCTCGATTTTCCAGGCTTAAAAGTTGAATTAGGTTTATTTAGAAGTTTTTAGAACCTGGAGACCATCTTCTCCCACTCCGCCACTTCTTCCCAGGTCCCTGGCACGCGTTTCGTGACAAAATTGACCGGCCAATACTATAAAAATTTCAAATTTGTAATAATTTGGTTTATTTATTTATGGTAATTGGTTTTTTAGTATTAATTTTAGTAAATTACCTCTGTTTGCAAATACTCGAAAGATCGAAGCGCATGGACCAGCTCCGAGTCGCCGGGGAACGTTTTGGCGGGCTCAAACGTTGGATGCATGCCGCGAAGGCCTGAAAACCGAATAAAAATTGATTTTACAGGCCTTTGAGGATACTTTTTGGAGCTTAAGAAGTTGATGCTCACCATGACCGGCGATCAAATACATCAGCACAGCCATCGCAATCACCGCACACTTGCCCGATGTGGTGAACAGCAAATTGACGAGGCCCTCCCAGCTGGGCAGCCTAGATTAACGAGAAATGATACCTTACAAAATGGTTACCACTTTGACGGCTCCTGCTTTTCATTGCCGCCGGGACGTTCCTCGTAGCACATCACCATGATCGGGGCGAAGACGGCAAACTCGTAGATGAAGTCGAGCAGCACGGCCAGGGCGGTGCCCAGGCAAAAGGAGCTCATCTATGCAAGTAAGGTTAGGAAATCTCATTTAAAGCTTGCAATCTCGGAGGCATCTCGTCCGAGATATGCCTAGCAATTTAATCGTATTTTGTAAAGTATTATTTCTGAGTTTTTGACAAAGTTTAGTGATACTTGAAGTAAAAAATCATTCAAAAACCTAGAAAATGCTAAAAATCTCACTTGGGGCGCCGGATTCATAATGCCGATGCCGAAGGCCAGCGTGTTGGTCACTAAAAAAAAATTAGAAAACCGGAAAAAGTCACTTACATGACGTGACGGCCATACTCGGGCCGACGTGAAGAAAAACGCGCTTCAGAGCGTCATCCTTTCTAAAGGTTAAAATACAATTTTTATGGGATTAAATTATATAGCATTCTTTTATAATAAGCCATTTTTTTCTAGAAAAACCTGAATAAGCTTAAAAGGCGTGTAAAGTACCTTAAAACACCCTCGGCCCGCACGCGGCGCCATTGGTGGAGCAGCAGGAAAGCATCGTCAACGCCTGAGTGGAAATTTAAAAAATTTAAACGTTAAAAACGCACCAATGCCTAAAACTAAAAATGGCGTAATACACATTATAGAATTTGTGCGAACGCCCAGCCAGCCGAGGAGAGAAAAGGTGGAAAGCGTGGCGAGGAGCGGAGACAGCATTGCGCCCACCGTCATCCAGATCTAACATTAGTAAATAAGAAAAAGTGTTCAAATTTGTTTAGTTCTCTGGCTGCTTAAAATGATAATAAACGCAAACCCGGCTGCTCCAGGTGAGATGTCGAAACATGAAAAGCATAAAAAGGACCATCAGCGCGCCGCCGAGCATGAAAAGCCCCACCGAAACGATCGTCCCGCGCAACATTTCGGCGTTGGCCACCTGAAGATATTATTTATTCTATGTTATTTTTTTATTAGCGCATTAATTTTATATTTAAACTATGCAATTTAAAAGGCAATTTTTAGCCCACCTGATCACCAAACATTTCCACACTGAACAGGTCGCTAAAGTCGTCCTTCAGGAAATATTGGAACAGGCCGAGCTCGATGGCTTCTAAAGTATAAGTTGCGTCGAAAAAATCTAGCAAATTCAAAAAAACATTAGAAAAATAATATGAATGAAAAAGCAAAAGATTGGTGAAAAATGGCCAAATTTCCCACCCAATCTCTTCGTCTCCTCGTAATTCTCGGCCTTATTCATGTACCACAGCGCGACGTGCTGCGCGGTTTGTAAGGTAGAGTTCTAAATATTGCCCTAGTGATACCGTAACCAATCCCACCTCCGGCAGACCGCGGTTGACCATGAAAAAGTGGGAAGACGTTTGGAGGTTGTGACCGAAGACCTTGGTGACCGGGTGCTGGATTTGGACGTCGGGCATGATAGCGGTCAACGGGTAGATTTGCTAAAAGTCGCGTTTTTATTGGTGTTTATTAACTTACAGCCAAATATCGTAGCAGGGCGTTGAGATCTTCGCCACTGGATGTATCGTGGAAAGTCGTTACGCCGCTGCGGAAGGGCGCCGTGAAATTTTGGACGAACGCGTCGAGGCGGAGAATCTAAGGAAGATTTTTAGGTGTTTTCGTTTTTATCGAGCCTTTTTATTCAGCTTTTTAAAAACATTAATAGCTGTTAAAATATCAAAAATTTCTTATTTTGAATCTCGCCAAAAAACCAAACCTCATCGAGAAGAGGCTGCCCGACGGGGATCGTCTCCTTTCCCAGCGATTTCTTCGGCGAGGCCAGCACCACCCAAATCTCGAGCCCCTCGAAGGGCAACTTGTAGAACTCGGCGAACGCCTGAATCACTGATTATCGCGATTGAATTTGTTAAGTTCACAACGCCCAGGCTGAGTTATTTTGAGAGGAGACAGGGGGCAGGGCATGGCATATCACTATTTTTCTCGGGGGGGCTGGGAACGGCGGCAGGGGTGATAGATTTGACACCCGCGCGCTTTGATTGAAATAGTGGAACAGCAGGGCGGGCGCTCGGAAAAAAGTTTAAATAGTCTTTTGGGAAGTTAGGAAGCCAAAATTCAAGAAAAATGACAAAAAATGGTTCTATCGCATTATCGGGGGGGGGGGGGCAGATTCTTTGGATGTCTAGAAATGCTGAGTAACGCAATAAGACTTTTCAAGATATTCGTAAAATTAACCAAATTCCATGAGCAAAAAAACTATCAAAAATTCAAAATTTGGTTGAAAATCGTTTTTATTTCTATTTTTTCCCCAAAAAATTGTAAAATTTCTCCGTTTATCAATGACAAAAATTGATAGAAAGATTTCCTACAATTCTTCCTAGTTTTATTCCTCCTTCATACTATTTACACCCAATAGAGAAAAGAAATTTTTTTAAGTTTTTGAGTTTTTAGAAAAGTTTAAATTGACAGACTTTGAATTTTTAAGCTCTGCCCCTCTTAAATCCCCAAAAAAACTAAAACAAATAACACCGCGCCTACCGTACCCGGAATTCTTTTGCCGAGCGGCCGTCCCTCTGCGCGAAGCCCCTCCGCACATCGCTTTCAATTTCCAGGGGGTAGAGGGCGTAGTAGGAGTGCAGCGGAAGGAGCACGAGCAACAACGTCAGTAATGACAGCAGCGGACGATCGCCTAAATTTAATTATTAAAAATTGAATAAAATTTGACCTAGCAATCGACATATCGGATCAAGAAGATAATCCCGAATTCGCCGATAGATCGAGGGTCTGTTGGTTACGGGGTTTATCTTCAGATTACTTTCGAGTTTTTCTGGGTCTTTCTCGTTTCTTTCTGTGAAGATTAACGCCGAGGTCTCGAACCTAAATAATGACAATTCAATCTAAGGTAAAAACGTGGTACTGGCCTGTTAGCGGGGGGGGGGATTGGGTGCGGCTTAGCGATGGGATAGGCCGCCCGGTCAGGTCCCAATCATCAATTAAACCCCATTTGTTTAGCGTTTTTACGTTTTACCCAATTTTTTAACTAAAGCAATTTCATAAAAAATTGTTTAAAAACCAAAAAAAAAAATCCGTTTTTGGGTAAAATTTATGAAAATGGGTTAAAATTGCAAATTCTAAAAATTTCTGAAGATGTTTTCACGACGTTTTTAGAGAGAAAACACTACCCAAAACACTATTAAATACGGTATAAAAAGCCAAAAAGTTTCGAAAAAATAAATTTTTAGGTAAAATTATACAAAAATGGTCTAAAATACAAATTTTACGTTTTTTTAAAACGTTTTCCTGGGATTTCAGCCATTAAAACCTGGTAAAAAACACTGTGGCATTTTTGGTAGGTAAGTATGAGCATCTGCTTTTCCTCGCATCCCCCCCCGCTAACAGTGAAGCCCCAAAAAACGTACCCAAGCTCCGGCTCTTGCGGTGGCATTTCCGGTGTCGCTTCTCAGCCTCAATTTCCTGATTTCCGGGCCTCAGAAAAGTGCCGGCGTACAGTTTAAAGTAACGGTGGCGGGGGGAAAGTAGCGGAGTATCTCGGGCGTTGACACTTGTGCCGAGAATGGCGGCGGGGCACCCGGGCGCGGAGGAGGAGCAAAAACAACTTGTGCTCGCGCGTGTGTATGTGTGTACCTCCTTGGCGCCCATCCTCCAATTTTTGTTTACCCATCAGCGCCATCTTGGGCAACGATCAGTCAATTTGGCGGCGTCGAGGGGGGCATAGATAGACAAAACGCCATCTTGTAGGGCACCACACTTATTTTGTCATTTTCTAGGGTGGGTGAAAAAACAGAAGGACAGCCGTGATTTGGGCGCGGGGTACTGTGCCGGACCTTCAAACTAAATACCCGGAAAATGCGCTTTGATCAAGCGATAAAATGCCCTTTCGGGGGTACGATCGGAATTCGGGGAAGGGTAAAAGTTCCGCGTGCAAAGACGGTGCGCGCGCTCAAAAAAATTATCGTTCCTAGAATCGATGTGTTTCCGAACCGTTTTCTACCATTTCCAAACGTAAATACTCCACAAATTTGTAATGAAAAATACAAAAATAGAGGATTTTTCGGCTAAAAATTATCGATTTCGATCAAAATTTTGAATTTTAAAATTTTTAGATAGTTCTTACGGTAAATGTAGTTACATTTTACCAAAAACACCATCAAACCAATTACGATTACGTCTGCTACACCAGGTATTTCTCGACGTGTAAGGAAAATTTATGGAAGTCTTCCCCCCATCTCCCCCCGATAATGCTAAAGAACAGGTTATTTTTCTAAAATCGGTTCTGAAGCATCTGTAAATCCGGACCTTATTCAGTGAAGCCGTTTCTGCTAGAAAAATCTGGAAGATCCCGATTTTCTGCTATAAACACGATTTTACACTAAAACACTGGTAATTTACAACCCCCTGACGCGCAGTGATCAGAGTTTTCCAGACAGAACGGTCCTCTCTATTCTCAGAAGTGCAGGGTACAAAAACACACTCCCCGGCCCCGCATAGATGTCTAGTGTTTTCTTTTAACGCCCCCGATTTTTGGCTGGCGTCACCTTTCCGGCGGGCCCATCTTGAGTCAGACTCCGCGCCGCTCTTTTACCGGGGTGAGCAAGAATTAGGAACAGCCTTCACCTCAAGTGGCTGCCCTTCGCCACTGTGCATTAAAGTGTTTGTCAACACCAAACATACACACGCCTTTTGCGTGGGCGGCGCCTGGATTTTGTGCAAACTGGAGGCGCGAACCTGGCGGTCAGACGCCTAAATTTAGGGCAAATTTTCTCGGGGAAAACACGGCAGCGGCCAGAAATGACGTTCTTGGAACGGGAGGGGGTGAGTTGCGAACTTTTTGGCGTATCTTCAAGGCGTGATTTGAGGGGTTACCATGGATAAAATATTCTAGTTCTCCGTCATCCGGGGAAATCCACCCTTGTCTTTCTGGTGTCGCTTTCAGAATTTTCGTAAAATACAAATTAAAAAGGCGTTACCTATTTGCACGATTTTTGGTCGGGAAGCAGTTCCAGTCCACGAGAAATCTAAATTTTCCTTCAATTCTTGCCAATTACACGCGCGAGGATGGAATAGATTCTTCGATCCGCCATGCACCTTCATAATCCCTCAGACAGGACATTTTAGCATCACGTCAAATACTTAAAACTGAGCGGCTACCAACTGAAACTCTGAAAAATACACCCGGCCGCCATCGCCGACCGAACCAAGTTCGGTAACATTTATTCAAGAAAAATCACGAAAATTTATCACAGGCACACAAGATTCACGGGATAAACGAGTGAGGGGCGACGAGCATTTTTACGAAATGGGCTTTTGTAAAGGGGGCGGCGGGCGGCGGGTCTAGTGCTCGGCCGCGTGCACATCGCTGGGCACGGCGGCGGCGGCGCGGGGATCGGACGTCTCGGTGCCGTTGGGGACGGCGATCTCCTCGAGCAGGTCGGGGCGGGAGTAGACGGGGGCCGTCGAGCAGATCAGGGTGTTGTTGTCTTCGTTCTGGCCGCCGTACGGGCTGCGGGAGCGGGCCGTGATGGAGGAACGGTCAGTGCGGCCAGTGCGGACGGAACCCTCGGTGGCGGTCCTGACGTTCTCCTGGCTGGAAAAAGGAGGGGTAAAATCGGGGAGTTGAGCACCACCTGTTCGAGCGGCCAGTGGCCAGACGGGTGTGGCTGACCGAGCGGCCAGTGCTCAGCGAGTGGTTGAGGAGGCTGTTCTGGCTGGGCGAACGGCCGGTCCACGTCGAGGTGTGGTGGCTGTGAAAAAGATAGGTGAGGGTGGTCGTTTTGCAGAAAGCAGTAGCATAAAAACATTGCGATATTATAAAAACGCTTACGTGAGAGGCCGGGCCGTGATCTGGCTGTTCGAGCGGGCGGTGAACGCGCTCTGACTGTTCGAGCCCTGGAGGGCGGTGTTGACGAACGAGTGCTGGCTCGAGGCACGTCCGGTGCGCACTTGGCTGTGGCTGCGGGCCGTGGTGGCGGTGGCCTCGCCGAGGTCCGGGATCGCCGTGCCCACCAACGACTGCTGGCTGGAATTGGATGGGTAAACTTCGGAGTCACGAAAAGTTGATACCTGGCAATGCGGCCGGTGGAGATGCGGCTGCTGACCGGGGCAGCGCATGTGCTGACGTTCGAAGCCGAACGCGAGGCCGAGCGGGCGGCGGAGCGCGCCGTGCGCAAGTTGGAGGTCGAGCGGGCGGCCGAGCGAGCCGTGCGCACGTCAGTGTCGGACCGGGCCAAGTTGGTGCGGCTGCCGCGTCCCCAGAGAGCTTGACCGCTGGAAAATAAAAAATAAACAAAAAAAGGAAAAGCCTAGGCGAGGTAAAAACAATACACTACTTTAATTTATTAAAACTAAACCTTTTGAAGTTTTCGGATTTCTTCTTGGCTATCATAACCAAAAATTCACCTAGACTGGCGGCCGTTGTGCAGGCCATCCGACGACGTCGAGCCGATCAGCCCAGTGTTGCTGATGACGTTGCACGTGCCGAGGGCGTCCGACGAGCGCGCATCGTTCGCGTTCTGGGTGTAGCCGCTAAAAATTGCAGTTAATGAAACAAAAGCCAATATACCTGAAGCTCTGGCAGGTGCCCAGCAGATCGGAGGAGCGCTCGGTGCGCGCGTTGGTGGCCCACGAGCGGCAGGTGCCGAGGTCGTCAGACGAGCGCCACGAGTTGACGCCCGTGTGCACGGAGGAAGAGGCGGGGCCGGCGCTAAGACATAAAATTTAAAGAAAATGAACACAAAACTTACAAAGCCGTGTGGATGCCAGTGGCGCTGATGGCGCTGCGGGCACTGATGGCTGTGCGAGGGGCGGGAGACTTGGCCACCGAACGGGCCGTCGTCGCGCCGCCGAACGCGCTGATCACCGACGCGTTAGAGAGCCTAAAATGTGGGGCTTAAAGAAAGAAAAACGTGGAAACATACTGGGATCTCGGGGTGATGAGCCCCTCGCTGTCGTAGCCGTCGGAGACGCTGCCACCAGCGGCCCTGGCGATGATGCAGGCGTCGCGCTCATCGAGATGTAGATTGCCAGCGGTGACTTGGTTCTAAAAACGCGAATTCAAGAATTCAAGCAATAGCAGCATTTTAAAATCCAAAGCCTACTTCCAAATAACCTAAACCCACGAAGATGGCCCGGGCGACGGTGCGCAACACGAACGGCTCGAGCACACGCTCCAGGACCTCGAACGGCACCAGGGGCCCATTCTCGTTGCGCGTGTTCGACGTGGCGCGGGTAGCCGATGCAGCGCGGGTGGCGGAGGCGCTGCGGCCCGTGTTGTCCCAGATGTTGGACGTGATGGCGCAGGTCGAGACCCCGGTCTCGGGTTGATCGTTGTCGCCTTCAACGCGGGCGGTGCGCAAGTCGGCCTCGTCGCCCTGGCGCACGAAGAAGATCTCGCCGTTGACGAGCATCGGCTTGTAGACCTGGTCGTCGAGGCGGCCGGCAAGCTGGCGGATGCGGTGTCCGGAGATTGCGTTCCCCTCGCCGGAACGCACGAAGATCACCTGAAAATAAAAAGTGAAAACGTTCAGCAAATCACGTACTTCCGGCTGCTTGCGCTCGTTGAGAGCCGGGTTGGCGTACACCGATGGCACGCGACGAAGGGCATGGCGGCGCCCCAGTTCTTCGGCGTTCAGCTCGTCGTTGTTCATCCCAGTGTTGATCATGTAGTCACTTGCCACGGCGCGCACGGCTTCTGAAAATTGAAATGAACAGATAAAACCCGAATTTGAATGAAAGAGACCAAATACCCACCGAGATTGCCATGTTCCGGCTGGTCGACGAAGTAGGCGGAGCGGTCTTGGGCGGTGGCCATTATCCAGTCGTGGAAGTCGGGTGAGTAGACGTGGCTGTATAGGCGGAACTCGCATTTTTATACCTAAAAAGATATGCAAAATCGTTAAACATCCGGTCGACAGAAAGGAAAGCAGTTATACGAATGGTAGATTCAAAATAGATGCAAAGCATGGTTTCATTTAGATATATGTAAAATGTAAAGCATTTAGCCGATACATAAAATGTAAAGCATTCTAACGCGCCTTTATTTGAGGCCTTTCTTTTCGCAAGAACGTATAAAATGTACTTTACAATGAATAAAACCGCCAACAATTTATATGCAACAGACAAAACAAGAAAAACATTTTTTGAAAGGCTTTTTTGTACAGCTGGCTACACGCAACATTCCGAAAGCTTTGGAGGACCCGTGGCGAAAACCGTATCCGCGTTTAGCTGAAAATTAAATTGAAATTGAAAACTGTATTTATCACATTAAAAGTCGCAAAATAAAATTGAAGTGAAGACCGTGTAAGGCTGGCTACCTTTGAATCCCGTCTGACTGCACGTAAGCTGCGACACAGCGGCACGACTTCTTCCGTTTGCGCGGAATCAGACTCCCGTGCTCCTTCAGTGCCGGATTACGCGTTGGCCGGTCCGGTACGACTTTAATTTAACTTGTTTAGTTGACGAGAAAAGACTGACCGTGACTGCAATCGAGAAACGCGCAACGTACGCCGACCTGGAAATGGTCCACCCACGTGGGGGCTTGCGTCGTGGGGATTGATGGTGTGGGGTGTGTTTCTAAAGAATTTTCACGGTTTTGTCAAATTTTTATAAGCCTCTAATTAGTTATAAGCTAGCGTTAAAAGGATCATTAACTTTTTAAAAGTTTCCAACGGAGTTTGGGACGCTAGAAACTATTTTAAAAGCTTCTTGTGAATGAATCAGGAATTTTAAGAAGCTTTTTTCGTGTTACCTGAAATCGCACTTGATTCCTCAACGCTTTTTGTTGTCGGGCTGCACGGAATGAGACTCAACATCTGCACCAAGTAACCCAGTTCTATAACGGCCGCCTAAAATTTATCATTTAACAATCTAGTGAATCCCAGACCTGAACGCGCTCTTGGTCGCTGTAAACCTCGATTTTCACCGGCTCGGGTGAAATTTCCGCCGAAAATTGGCTTGTTTCTGGCGTGGCATCCCAGACTTCTTTCGTCGGTTCGGGTGTAGTTGTAGTTTTCTAAAAACATAGTTTTTGTATGAGGATCTTCAACTTACTGCCTGGCCAGGGACAATGTTGATTTGGGGCGGCTTCTTTTGCTCTATCACGGTCGCCTCTTCTAAAAATACGCATTCTTTTATACAATTTTTTGGTTTTGCCTTTTGTATCAGTTTAATTTACTGTTTTACTTTCAACTCACCAATCTTTTGTTCAGGCTGCGATGTCGTGGGCGGCGAGCTCGGCTGGCCCGTCGTCGCTTCCGGCATCTCCTCCATGTCCAAGGCGTCGATCTCGAACTCGTCCTCTTCTTGTGACGTCTCGGCAGGTTTGTCCTCTACCACCACCCTACTTTCCGCCATTTTCAACTCAATTGGGCGATGTTGCGCCGGGGCCTGGGTGGATTTTGCCGTCTTTATGGGTTGAATCACAGTGGGAGCTATGTGATTTTGTTGTCTAACGTTTTCAACAACAATATTCGGGGTCGTAGTGGCATCTTTTGGTTTGGAAGCCACTTCCCGGGGTTGGTAATTTGCCTCCTGGGCGCGCTGCCGGTCCAGAATGGCTTGTTGCATTTCCGGTTCTTCGTTGTAATTCCGGTCATAGCCGATTCGGTCGTAGATCGGTGTTGTGTCGGTGTTTATGGGGTATCCTGGCGGATCGGTCGGCGGGGGTTGTGGGGCTTGAAAAGTAGCTGGTGTGGGTGTTTGAAGCGCTTCCAAATATTCTTGCTTGTTAGGTATTGAGGCGGCGGGGCCGAGCGGGTCGTTGATAGGAGGTTTTGGCTAAAAAGTGAGAGTTTAGAATAGTTTTCGTGTAGTTATATAAATAGTGTTTTCCAACCCAGTTACTTTTTGAATTTTAGTTTGGCTTACCGTAGCTTCTTCTGGTTTCTTCGGCACATAGAGGGCAACAGCTGACGTTAGGCAAATAATTTGAAAGACGTATCCCCGCATTTAATGAGCTGGAAAAATGTTTAGAAGTTTTGTAAAGCGTTTAGAAACCAGAAAACGGTGGAAAGCTTCGCAGGGCCTCGATTATAATCAGAAATCTGTCGGTACTGCACTATTAGCGGGGGGGGTAATGATCGCCACTAATCCCGTACTGCCCAATAACGAAAAAAAACCTATTCATGGTATTTTACACATTTTTTTAACTACAGCAAGCACAAAAAATTAATCAAAAATGGATAAATCTATTTCGTACAGGTTTACATTTACAGTTTCGATAGGCGTAAAACCAAAAATTAGCTTAGCTCCCCCCACAGTTCAGTACCATTTTCTGTTGCGGCTTCAAATAACGCGAAAAAAAAACATATTTTTCAGCGCGGACAAGCCTAATTTTGATCTGGATTTCTGCCAAAAAACGACAACAACTTGTGATCTACATGATACAAACTCCAAAGTTCAGTAACCAGGTACAGTAACCACCGCTGAGGTCATGAAGCCGATGACTAGACCCCCGAATAAAGAAAACGACGTGTGAAAACAATGGTCGACGGGGGGGGGGGTGGTGGCAGAAGCGGGTGATGGCAAAAGCCCATGCCTCGAAGTGTGGTCCATAAATAAGGGGACAGCCGCCCACAGCCCTCTCGCGGTCCTTTAGAGCATCCAAGATTTACTGGGCCACAGCCTGTGCCGATCGTTGTAGAGGGGGAGAATCGGTCGGGATGGAACCCCGTGATCAGCCGGTCCGATTGGTCTGTGAATATGAACGCTGAGAGGTGGTTGACAAGGGAAAACGCCGAAATGCCGACATTCAAAATATCGACAGCGATTATCCCGACAGCCAAAATCTGACAGCCAAAATCCCGACAGCCCATTTGGGTAAAAAGACCGCAAATCTCACATTTTTGCTGTCTGGATTATGGCTGGAATTCTAGCTTTAGTTATTTGCTGTTTAGAAAATTTTCTTTTCTAGAAAATTTTAAACTTAAAAAGTTGACTAAAGCAATAATTCATTTTGTAATTTTTTAATCAAGATTTTTCTTTACTATCCAACTTGTCTAATATAATAAGAGGCAGTGTTTCTAAAAATTTTATTCAGTTGAAAGTTTAAAAAAGGCAATTTTTCAATGAATTAAAAGGCCCAAAATATAGAGAATTTTCGGACAGAATTCCGAAAATTTTTAGGTTTTTCGATAGTTGTCCAGTTGAGCATTCCCAGTTTTACACCCCTTCCCCGCCGATAACGCACAAGCACCTTATAATTTAGCTTATCACATCTAACATCTAAAATTGTAAGGCAGCTATGCACCGAAATTTACGATTTGTAATCCGCAGGTCTCTGATTCGAAAACTACAAACTACAGCCTGCTCGGACTCGACTAATCACAAAATCAAGGAAATTATCAGGGAAAAATGCGCTGATTAACCGACAGAAGCTAGGGGAGTTTTGGTAGTCTCTAAAAGCCTAATTTTGCTCCTCTTAGCAACCTGCCAAGCTCGGTTTTTAAAGACTTTTTGACGTTTTCAACAAGAATACAATATTTATTTCGGCTGCAAAAGTCTTGTTTTGAGCCGGTCCAAATTTTGCGGCCTACCCCGGCCAATTTCCGAACTTCTCCCTCCTCAATGGGGGATCACTCACCCCCCGAAAAAAAATGAGAAATGCGAGCACCGGGCACACGGCCGAACATTCCCAAAATTAGGCGAATCACGACGGCTGTGGGGTTGTTCACTGGGGCGGATCGGAAACGGTTCCACATTCATCCCGAAATGGGCCTCGCCCCGAAAAATGAGTCAGTTTTGTTGGGTTGAAAATGGCGCTGCTTCTTTTCCCTGTTTTTTTCGCGTTTTTTAACTGTAAAATTGTTTTTTTTTTCAAAAACGAATTTTATGGGAATTTTATTAATATGATTCATTGAGCTAATAAAAACTCAGGAAACTACAGTTTTTAAGTTTTTGTTTTCTGCTGATCCTCTTTATTTTTAAACCTTTTAAAGCCTAAAATAAACTAAAGGAATTTTCGAAAGATTGATTTGTAAAAATGACATTCCTGGATGGTAAAATACGGTAGGTATTTCACTGGAAATTACGACGGGCCATTTTATTTTCAATCCCATTTTCTTTATTTTTTTTTGATGCGATTTCAAAGTCTTAATAAGCGGTATTTTTGTAGTGAGCAAATTTTAAAAATGACAGTTGATGAGCAAAATTTTGTAGTTGCTAAAAATTCACCCAATCCCAGCATTTCCGAATTTTTCTTCCCTTGGACGCGTAAACTATTGGTATTTTTGTAGTAATAATCTTACGGTGGGTATTCCCCTGGAAACTGACTCATTTTCGATTGTTCCCACGCCCATCGGCAGCGCTTCCCCTTTTCCAAATCCGAATCGACTTTCACCCGATTCCCCGGTGCTCTTTGCTTATCGTTTTTTCTATGCCAAAGTTCTCCGGCCGCTGATGCCGATTACGGGGGCGCGCTCGGGTCCAATTAGGCAAGCATTCCGGGCTCTGAAAAAGCATTTTTCTCTATTCAACTTTAAACTATAGCTGAGTGACTTTATTACTGGTATAATGGTTCTTTCGCATTATCGGCGGGGGGCAGCCGGCCTTTTTTGTATAAGTCTAAAAAGGTCTAGTAAGTTAACTGAAAGTGTTTTTATAGTGTTTATCCTACAACCATATTTCAACTAGAAAAACTGTCGAAAAACTTTCAAAAAAACGGCAAAATTTTTGTTAAAAATCGAAAAATCGATATTTTTGTTGTTTTTAATACAAATTTGTAAAGTTTTCACGTTTAGGAATAGTAAAAAACCATGTAGAGTATTGAAATAAATCAGATCCTAACAAAAAAAAGGTCGGCTTGCCCCGATAATGCGAAAGAACCAGTATAATAAATATTATACTTCGTAGACTACGTTTACCCATAATTTTCATTTTTGTGCTCTGCTCAGGTTGCACTTCTATTTTTTTAGAGATGAAGCCCGAAAACAGTGTCGACGTTTGGGCGGCAATAGCGTACACCGTTGGGGATATTGTCGGTTCAGGTGGGAGATTTTATGTGATTTTTAAAGGTACCGGGAAGGACTGTCTATAGATTTTTCCTTCAAAAACCTTTAAAAACCGGCTTTTCCTCCACAAACTAGCCGACCTACATTTTTTCAGGAATATTCGTCTCGCCATCAGTAATTCTGTCACACTCCGGCTCCGTCGGCCTATCCCTGATCATTTGGTCCGTCTCGGCCGTCATCGCTTCATTTGGTACGTGCCGCTCCTCTTGGCACCTAATTTATCATACTGTAGGCGCACTTTGCTATATCGAGCTCGGGACGACGATACGGAAATCGGGATGTGACTTTGCGTATTTGTCGTATGCCGGATGGTGGGTAGATTTGAGGGTGCTTTTCAAATAGGCGGGGGGGGGAAGATTTAGGGGGGGGGAACCGAACTTTTTTCCGCCCATGCCTATATTTTTTATATAAATAGTGGAAGTGTTTCTAAATTGTTTATAGCTATTCCTGAACATAAAAACTTTACAAAACTTAATTTTATTTCGAAGAATAAATTTTTTCCGCCCAAAAATGACCAAATTTTCGACTTTTTCAAGCGCTTTTCTAACTTTTTAAAAAGTTTTTCCGATTCAAATAGGCTTAAATTTTGCTAAAAACAATGTGAAAACACTTTATATTTGATGATCCCCACCAGGGCCGACAAAAAAAGTTGTTCCCCCCCCCCCGCCTATTTGAAAAGCGCCGATTTGAGGCTTGATTTCGTAGATTCTGCGTAAAATCAAGGCGCTAAAATTCTGATCACTGTCACCGGGTCGAGAATTGCGTCAGGAATCCAGAGCGTCCAGGTGCCAGAATGGGAGCGCGATAAGCAGAGGCTTAACCCGCTTTGGGACGGCTGAGCCTGGAATAGACGGCATTTCGGGCTCCTAGACGAAAAGCCCAAAAACGGCAGAACTAAATTAAAAAAACTAAAGGAAGATGGGAGATTCGGGGTACTATTGCATTATCGGGGGTGGGGAAGAAGCCAAATTTTTCCTGTAAATTGCGCTTTTAGCACGCATTTTAATAGCGTTAGGGTAAAATGTAGCTCACTGTTAAATAAAAATATGTAGAGAACGAACTAAACATTATTTTTAGTTTTTTTTTAAACCGTCGAAAAATTTTAATTTGTAAAGTCTATACTTTTAAGAATTAGGAGTCCTAAACGCCGTTTAGCAGCACTTTGTCTATTTATATCGGTAAAAATTAGATCCGATAGAAAAGTGCCCCCCCCCCCCGATAATGCAAAAGTTCCGAAAATTAAACTACTTTTAGGCACCCTGTCGCAGCGGCGTTCCTGTTTGTGAGCTGCGTCTTGACCTATCCGTCAATCCTCGCCATCCAGACGGTCACCTTCGGCGAGTAACGGCAAAGCCTCGAGGACCCATCCCCTTTCAGGTACATCGTCAATGGCTTCCACCGCTTCCTCGACGTCGACCCCGACTGGGAGCCGGCCCTGAAGAAGCTCATCGGCTTCTCCGTGTTGCGTAAGGTTCACTCAATCTATAAAGCCCGACCCTAGTCCCTCTCATGGCGCTGAACTTCTTCTCGCTGCGCAAGGTGGCGGCCAAGTTTCAAATTGCGGCGACCGTGGCCAAGTTGCTGGTCATCTGCATCATTGTCGTCACCGGGTTCTACCATTTGATTTTTAAAGGTATGGTTTGTATCAAAGTTATACATAGATGCTGAATTTCCAGGACAAACTGAGAATTTCGACTCGAAGACTGTTTTTGATGGGAGCACCTCGAACACCGGTGCCAATAAAAGTTATATTTTTAGCGCGATTTTAGGTGACATGGTGCTGGCGCTGTACGCTGGATTATTCGCCTACAATGGGTGGGATATCCTGAATTTTGGAACGGAAGAAATCGAGAATCCGAGAAGGTATTTTAAAAGGTCTAATCAAAAGCTTTTCATTTTTCAGGACCCTGCCGCTCGCCGCTTTCTTCGGCATTCTCATCTCGGCCATCACATACCTGTCGATGAACGTCGCCTACTTCTCCGTGCTGACGGTAGACGAGTTCCGACATTCCGACACCGTGGCCGTGGTAAGCAATAAAGAACAAAACCACGATAAAATCGCCACATTTTCGATTAGAAATTCGCCGAGAAGACGCTCGGCGATTTCCAGTACGTTGTCCCGTTTCTTATTGGAGTGATGCTGCTTGGCAATCTGAATTCGACAATTTTCGGGTCATCACGGTGAGGTGTACTTTTTACCGAAAAACCTTATCAAATTTGTAGTTACCTTTTTGCGGGCGGTGTGGCCGCGGTAATGCCAAAGGCCGTTGGGTGCGTTCACGAGGAATCGGGAAGTCCGAGGGCTGCAATTCTAGTTGAGGTAAGGTGATGCCCGCGCAACAAGATCAACAAGTTCAGGTCATAATTTGTGTTGGTGTTTCGTTCATCGGCGATCTCGATTCGTTGATCTCGTATATGACGTTCGCCATGTGGATGCAGAGGACGATGACGCAGGTTAGGGACAGGATAAAATAATAAAAAGAAAGGCTAAAGGCAATACTCTTAAGTAAAAAAAACCATCGATTTTGAGATAGCCTTCATCTATATGCGATTTTCCGGCCGATTACCCCGGAAACCAACGTCAAACATCTTCAGGTAAGCGCTGAAGATGAAATAAAAGTTTTATAAATTTCAGAGTGCCAATTCTGGTGCCTATCATCTTTTTAATACTCTGCGTCGCGTTGCTAGTTATTCCTGTCGTGCAGGTAAGTGATTTAATTTATCTAAATTCGAAAATCCAATCAAAAATAAATTTTAGCACTTCAAAGTGGGCATCTACGGCGTCGGCCTGGCCATCATTGGCCTACTCACTTATATGGTGTTCATCTACCCGAAAGAGATTCCCGAATTTCTGCATAAAATCAACGGTGAGTCAAGCAAAGCATTCGACAACCCGAGCTAGATGCCACCCTGAAATTCTTCCAAATACTACTGAATGTACAGCCCGAGCACGACGTCGAGATCGAGGAGGAAAAGGAGAGGCGGAAATCCACTATCTACTCCGAACGCTCAACAAAACTTTAAATGCTGTAGATGTGTATAGAAATAAATGTATAATCAACACATTGCGTTTTTTATCAATTTATTGCGAAGAAAAGTCTCGCCTTGAATCCGCAAATCTCGTCTCCGTCTTCAAATTTCCCCACGCTTTCGCTTGTTGATGGGATGCCGAGGGTCGCTGAGGTCGAACCAGTCGCCAGTCTCGTCGCGCAAATTAGCATCCTGAAGTTTTCAATTTAAAAAAGTGAAAAAAAAATGGATTACCAAGGCTCTCGTCAGGTTTGGATCCACCGCATCTTCGGCCACAAACTTGTGCTGCATCCTAAAAAAAAGAGGAAATTTCACTCGCGATCAAAACCAAATACCAGTCGCTCCCGGCCTCATCTTCAGCATCCAAGTCGTAGCCGAACTTCTTATCCTCAGAGGGCCCTGCTGCGTCGCCATCCTCGCCAGCTTTTTCCTTGCCTTCCTCTTCCTCTTCTTCACCTTCGCCGCCAAGATCGATACGTGCAGGGAGATCAGCAGCCACCTAATAAAACAAGAATATTTAAGGGGCCTTCTTACCTTCTTATCAAACAAAATATCCGTTCGCTCGGCGGCGTCCAGCTTGGCGCGGAAGCGCTCGAGCAATTGCATCGTCTGGTTCTCTCGATCGTCGTCACGCTTACTCTTCAGCTTCTTCGTCTTCGATTTGTATTTCAGACGCATCTCCTTGTAATCGGCCAACACGTCCGAGACCGGGGTCTCTTAAAAACATAAGTAAGTAACGAGCTGAAATTAAAGAAATTCGAAACCGGCAGGAAAATCCGTACCTACAGCTTCGACTTTCTTTTGCTTGGGCCCGCGCAGCGCCTTCATATATTCTTTTTGCATAGCTTTGAGCTCGCTCGTCATCGCATCCCTGAGAAATCAAAAAATAAAGTATATTAACGTACGCTTACAATTTCTCCTGCTCCTCCTTCTTCCGCTCTTGCTCAATAATATCGGCGAGGTCCTCCTCGGCAGCACCCTCTGGCTAATAAAATTTTAAGAAAAAAAGAAATCCTGCTACATACCTTGTCCTCTTCATGCTTCCTCTTTTTCGCCAATTTGTCGCGGATACGGCTGGTGGCTGTCGGATCGTGCTCTTCTTCTTCCTAAACAATGAATCCAATTTATGCTATAAAAGTTACCGGATCATAATCAGCCATTTCCTCCTTGGTCACGGCCACCTGTTTGCTGAGCTTTTCATCATTCAGCACGTCGTGAGCACTCTTTCCTTTAGTGCCAATTTTCTAAAAACTTTTTACAGATCTCTAGCAATACGAACCTTATTGATCTCCAGAATTTCAGCCTCGTCATCTTCTGCTTCATCACCAAAGGATAAAAGGTTTAGTTTCTTAGTCTCAACAACCTTCGGCTCCTTCTTTTTCTTCTCTCGACGCTCCTTTTCTCTAAACCTTGGATAAAGCTCAAATCCGGCCTCCCACCTCGGCTTAATATCCTTGAAGGGATGGTTGACGATTTTTGCTCCTGTGATTTTATAGATGGTGGTTGGCCGCTCGTTGGCATCCACTTCACATTCCGCCAGTTTCAGCATATTAAACATAGTCGGTCCAACGACCTAAAAATCTTAAGGCGCCTTGGTAATCTCCTTACTTTTCCGAATAATGTATTCTTCTTCGTCAACTCGCGAACTTGGACGGGATCGGTGCCGAGCGTGAAGAAAAATTGGGAGCCGTTAGAATCCCGGCCTAAACATTTAACTTTAGCACCAAAATTCCAAACAAAAACCAACCAGAATTAGCCATTCCCAACAAGCCACGACGGTTGAAAGTGAGACGTTGATGGAATTCATCCTAAAAATCTCGAAGTCGTCAAAAATCTAAAAATTACTTTAAACGGATGACCATAGATGCTCTCGCCACCTTGCCCAGTTCCGGTCGGATCGCCACCCTAATAATCGAGATTAGACGATACATACAAAAATTACTTGAATGATGAAGTCCTTGACTAAGCGGTGAAATGGGGCGCCGACGTAGTAACCTGAAGCATAAACAGATGAAAATCACCATAAACTTCGCAAACCTTCCATACATAATTGAATGAAATTTCTGGCTGTCATTGGCGCCTCTTTGCACCATAGCTCAATCTCAATATCGCCGGCCGTCGTCTGGAGCACCACTTTTCCCGAAGTGATCGGCTCGTGCAAGTATTGAGTACTCATTCTACTAAAATACGAATTCATTTTTTAATTTTTCAACCGAGCTAGAAAGCACAGAAGGTCAAAAAAAAATTGCAACACTTGATCGAATTCGAATAGAGCTGCCACAGAATTGTCGTATTTCCGAGGTAGTCGAGTGCATTTGACAATAATCCACAAGCTTTTATCGATAAAAATTTTATTAAACAATCCGAATCGCCACGCCTTTAAATACATCATATTAGCGGCAACGATCACACAAATTCCATAAAAAAAACAAGATAAATTAATCTCTATCCCTCTGATTAATTCTGGGAGCGCCAAATAGCCCCCGCGCGCAATTAGGATAGTTTAGTTAGTTGCTGAGGGGCTAAATTCTATTACGGTAATTTAAATAGGGGAAGGCCACACCGTAAATTGCTGACTAGGGAAAAAGAAGTCGGCAGGCTGGTGAGCAAAAAAATGAGCCTTCTAACAGTGGGGCTCAGACCCAGCTAGTAACTTGATATTGCACCATCATAAGGAAGCTCAAGACAGTTTTTTCCTAAAGAAGCTCCACCAAAACCATAACCCGCACAAGACACAATTCAGCAGGAAACTAGCGCTACGAACAATTCGAAAATCATTATGCGGTGGGTGTTACGCTCGTAAATACATATGACAACTATACACAGGATGGGAGAAAGACCGGGAGACACTCGCGAAAGTCGACGGCAGTTCGAGTGGCCGAATCTGAAAAACGGGACGTTCGAGGCGCAAATTTATTCGTGTAAAAATGTCGTGCAAGTGCGGGTCAATTGTTACAAAGTGCAAAAAAATGAAATGTTATGAACGAATTAATCCAGTTAGCAGTGAAAGAAGAACACATAGTGCAGTAGTAAGGTTAAAAATACTCATCAAGATCAACCACTGACCGCGGTTAGGCGCTTTACGACGCTCGCACCATTCCTCATTTGCTTGATCAAGCTGCTGCTTGACGAGCTTCTTTTCATCGATCACTTTCAGCATTTCTTCAAGCCGTTCGCGCTGGAATTCGCAGTTGTAGCTATATGGCAAAAGCTCACCACTTCAGTGGCATCATTTTCCGGGGTATTCTTCTCAGCGACGAGAGTCCTTAGAGCGCTGTACCTAAATTGGCAGAATGGACGCAGACAAAACACCGCACCTTTCATCCAGTATCACTTCTCGCACGCGAAGACGCAAATCTTTTTCGCGGCCCTCCAGGATCTGTCTTTCTTGGGTCAGTGCTCGCCACTCAGCAAGCAAGCTGATATTCGTCGGATCTAAAGTTAGGTGTAAAACATATAATTAGTCTTAGTCTCGTACCAGTCTTCAAGGTCGTCTCGAGCATTTGTCCACGCTTGGAAATATTTTCGAGGCGCACCTCAGTCTCTTCTAGCTGCCGCTGGATCTCCTGCGCCGATCGACCGCGCTCGTCGTGAAGGTGTTGCTTGTACTTTTCAACCCTGGAAAATGACTATAATACGAATTTCATTTAATGACTAGAGAAATCGGCGGTACAGAAAACTCGTGTTTTTCGCTTAGTGTTTAGGAAAATCTCACCTCTTTTGCACACTTCGCAAATTTCTGTCGTTTGGCGCCAAGAGTGGAACGTTGGGGTCTTTTGCGACTGGGGAATCGGTGCGGGTTGGAGCCCTCGAAGGTACGGCAGGCACGTAGATGGTCGTCTTCTCAAGCGGAGGGCGAGGGGATGGCGGTATGACGGCCGTGTTTACAGCAACGGTTGGTAGAGGAGAGCTGGAGGGCGTGGAAATCCCTGAAAAAGATAGTGATCAGAAATGCTTTGACAATCCAACCAAGGGGTGAACGGCTGCCGCGCTGATTCTTGATTCGATCCCAAGTGTGTCGAGAGCGCAGCTCTTTCTCTTTCTGGCTTTCGGAGTGGAGTTCTAAAGAAAATAAGGCTAGTTTTTAGACGAACCGCGAGCTCGATCACCTGTGGGTGAAATGTTGAAGAAACGGCTGCTCATTCGTGGCGATGGGAAACCTAGAAGCGGATTTGAGATAAACTACTAGAGCTTACCATAGTAAGCATGCTCTTGGGGCGGATCAGCTGCCGGTAGTGGAGGAGGCTCGTCGGCGGGAGGAGCTGTGTCGGCACGAGCCGTCGAGAACTAATTCAAGATATGCAAAAAAGGACAAAGGGTACCGCATGCCGGCGAATCTCCGGGTCGTGCGTTAGCTGGCCAGTTGTCACGGCACGTTCACGACCATTAGGGCTACGCGTCCTGCCACGGTGCGGTGTGCTATTGTCTAAAAACCACAGACCGGTAAAAAAATGGCAAATGACATACTCAGTCCCAATTGTTCGTCGCTCATCCCCCTAGCGCGTATCCGGGCATCAGCGAGCATTTGTTCCAGGTAGGGGACCTGAAATTTTATATATGTTTTATTAATTATATTTACCGGCGTATTTAGCGTCGAGGTTGGCGTACCGTATTCTTCGTTGTGACTTTGGGCCTAAAATTCTGAGTTAGTCCAATTTTGTCGAGTACCGCGTTTGAAGGGAAGTACGAAGGACCGATGCCGGGTCTCACCGACTGCCGACGAGAATCGTTTATGCGTTCAAGCAAGACCTCGGCCTAAAAAACCGAATGTCGGGCTGGCAGGACACACGAGCAAAAAAAGTCTTCGAAACTGACCGTAAATTTCGTTGCCAACGTGACTTTTGGGTCGCACTCTGCATCCAAAAGCGTCCTTTCCAAGACTTCTTGATCATCTTCATCTAGACCATCATCCGACAGGGATTCATCGAGCGCGCCACGATCACCGTCGTCGTCAATGAAAGCCAAATCGAGCTCAGAATGCTTGGTACTAGACCGGGAGCGAACAGGCGATTCGATGGAAGTTTCGCCTTAGGGAAAATAAAACGGAAGAAGTCAAGTCGACTTACTGATTAACGTGTTCACGCGCCCTCTCGAGCTGCTGCCGCTGCTGGAGCCGGTGGTGTATTCGTCGTCGGTGTCGCTGTCATTGAGCACGACGGCTTGCTAAAAAAATATTTGTAAACTTCAGCCGAGTCTCAAGAAGAACTTACTTTTACTTTTCTGGGGGCTTCTTGAGCATCGAACGCTGCCCTTTCTGGTGTTGAATTTAAATTAGCAGGGTCGCTCGGCGAAGCAAGCAATCGCCTGGCAAGCGCGCTAGAATCCATCGGTTCAAAGTCACTAAAGACAAAAAATTCTATCCCCCATGACAAGCCAACCTCTCTCCAGCCCGTTGCGCGTAAAAGTTGAGCACGGACGTGGTCCTCGTCTCTGGTGGCCTGGATGGCACCCTGATGGTCACATTCGCCAGTGAAGGCATCGGCGGTGAATCGGGAGCAGTTTCGGGGCCAGTAGTCGGCGCTTGTTCGACATTTTCTTTCGATGAATCCGATGCCGATCCTTCGTCTTGCGAGGCGCGCTTGTCGAGGGCCCGCTTCTCGTTCCGTTCGATTTTGGCAATCTTCTCGCGCAACGACAGGCGTAGATGAGCACGGCAGAAGAACTTGTTGCGGTAATGGCTTTCGAGCTCGCGGTCTTGCCCACATTCTCCGACGCGCAGGGGTTGACCACAGTAGGCGCACTTGAAGCAGCCCCGGTGTACATACATCGATTCCACATGTAATCGTTCCGCCAAGTAGACAACCTACATGGAAGTTAATCTTAGCTAGTACCAATAAACCTTGCTACAAAGTTGACAATTTGTTTGGCGCGGGTTGACGGAATCGTATAGAGAATCAACGGTGGGCATTGAGACAACTTGACGTTTCGGCTGCACAGGGGCGACGGGCTAAAATGGGCGTAGAAGACTGGTAACAAGATAAAACCTACCCGCAAAACGACAGAGCCATCTTGCTTGATCGTTGTCACCGTCGAAGGCTGCGGCAGAGGAACTTCAGGGCTTGGATAGATGATCTGCTGCGTCTTCCTCCTCGTCACCGTGTTCAGACCGGCCAGCTCTTTCCGGCGCACCAGCTGTTCTGCACGTAGGATGACGTCATCAGCTTCCTTCGACCGGATATTTCGTCGCAACTTCAAGGAACCGTCGTCATCTTTGCCTTCTTCCGGCCTCAGTCTTCTCAGGTGCGGGGTCTAAAGGAATATTGAGAAACGACGACAATCATATACCGTGGATCCCGGTGAAGTGTCCTCCTGGTCAAAGAATCGCTTCACATTGTCAACGAGGGCCGGATCCAGCGGGCTCACCTGTAAGGCCAAATAACTTTTAAGACTAGCGCATACCTGTGGGCGCTTCGTGACATATCTCTCCTCGGACGGCTCAGCCAAAGAGATTTGCTTGGCACATTCCGCTTCCTCGCGTTTGTAGGTTGGGACAAATGGCGCCGGCACGACAACGCCGCATTTCTCGCGAATTTGGACTTGGAAGTTTTCGATAACAGAAGATTTTTTGGCTTTCGAGGTGTCGAACTGAAAAAAGCATATCTGCGACGCTGATCACCATATATCAACGATTATTTTCGACATCTTGCGGACAAAATTGGTTTTGTTTGCAATGGTTAATGATACAAAAACGTTTTTCCGGACAAAACAGCAAAATTCGACAAATATTTCATGCAACTCACGCTCAAGGTAGCTAATAAGAGTCCTTAAAAGTATGAAGCGGTCGAGAGAAGCGGAAACGTACCCTGGCGGGGAGGGCTTTTGGCCGCTTGCTCGCAGCACTTCTCGGTGTTAGGAGCACCGATTGGACGTTACCGATGTCGGCGCGGATGGAAGCGATCAGCTTCGAGATGAAGACCATCTAAAGAATCGTCAAAAGCCTTTACAAACTTTACTACCTTATCTGCCTTCTTCAGGTCTTTCCAATCGGCCGCATCGCAGGGGGGAGGGATCTCCAGAACCTCGTGGACACGCTTGAAGACGTACTGCAAAAAAAAATTGAAGTGTGATAAACCAGTAGAAGATCAGACCTCTGTTCGAACCACAGGATCTTCGGAACGCGCGCGCACAGCAAAGTAATCCAAGCAGGCCGGCTTGAACTTTCCGACGAGGGCCGCCAGCGCCAGGCCGTCCGCCCAACTCGAGTCCATGTTGGTGAACTTCAATTTGAACGGAGCCAGAGCAATGTAGCAAAAGCTGAAAAAATTGAGGAAATAAAGAGTTTCTTACCGCCAGATAGCGTATTCGAGGCGATGAGGATCATCATGGACACAGTTGGGACGGTTGATCAAGATCGGTTCAGTTATGTCAACTAGAATACATTTTTTTTCCATTTCAGAAACAAAACAAGTAGAATTTTCGGCCGCCTATTACGCACCGATCCGCTGATTATCCGTGTCCACGATATCTTTCACGTCCTCCGGTCGCATGGAGTACTCCAGCGAGACATAACGCGTCTTCGGATCAATCGTGAACTTTGTGCTTTGCTTGTGGAGGTTGTAGTTGGTCACCTAGTGGAAATGATTTGCTTGAAAGGTGGGTCGTACTTGGGCGAGAAGGCGATAGATGCTTTCTCTCTCAGCAATCAGTTGCAGGGGTCCGCTCTTCTGGAGCCCAAACCCGCGAATCAACCAGGCCGTGTCCATCACGCCCAGGAAGCCACGTGCGATGCCAGATCCGGTAGGCCAGAAGGGTTCGTGCAGGCTGTCGCCAACAATTCCCAGCATAAGGTAACGGCCGTGGCGCTCCATCAACCGCACGCTGCACTTACTGAAGATCGGGTGGATTTAATAATCAAGCAACGTAAAGTTACCTGGAAAATAGTGAAGTGAAGTCAAACATGGCAATGTCCGGCTGGCCCTTATGGTTGACCGCAAAATCGAGGTTCGGCAGTTGGCCCTTCGTCGCAAAATCCGCGGCCGAACTGGCATACTTGCAAAGCATGTCTTGGTCGACGTTCTCTGGGGAAAGGAGCTTGGCAACATCATCGCTGTCCTAGAATTGATTTCTGTCTAAGCGGCCAATTTCCAAATATACCTTCAAGATCACACCACTTTCCAGCAAGCTCTGCTTTTTCGCGCACATCACAAAGTAATGCGTTTCGTCCTAAAATCCAGAAAAATGGAATACCATCACAAAAGCACCTTGTAGTACACAATATTTTCCAAATCAACACCGGTTGTTGCATTCATCTCCTTGAAAAACGTTTGGTTGAAGATGTAGGCGATACCACTAAACGAATTTAAATTCGACTCTCATTTCATGCACCTTATTTCTGGGACGCGCTCCTCGGCGTGCGTCTTCCGGTTGACGAAATTGGCTGTGATTCCGATGGCCACTTTGCCTCGCATCTCCTCACGCGGAAACCCTGCAAAATAGCGCCATTTTTTGCAACGGGGTCGAGCAAACATCTAAGAAACCGATTCTGCAAAAATTTTAGAAAAGCAAAAAACCGCAAAATTTGTTACCATTAACTGTGTTTCTCTTGCCATCAGCGCCAATAAGCACATCAAACTCGTAATCGTCGAGTAGATGCCCAGATGGTTCGTAATAAGCACGGAACCCGGAGTCTAAACAGGAATTTTTCAGAAAATTGGATTGTATTTACAGCTCCCATCAGGTCGTAAAGAGGGCACGCGGATGTCCTTATAGGTGACGCCTTCGAAAATTTGTACGCCGTAGCATAGGGCTACTTTGAGGAGGATACACTGCAGCTGTCTGATACCTAAAAGATAAGATTGGTATCATGATTATCCACTCACTTATATGCTCGATGCTGCCGGTGCAGAATTTCGGATAGAAGATTTTTGCGCCAATCGATTTTAAATCTTGGATGACGAATTCCCATAGATGGAGCACGTTATTACGACTAAAAACAAGACAAGTTTCAAGTACGTTCCAAGAAAACTACCTAAATTTATCACGGTGTTCCACAACAACGACCCGAGAACCAAGCAGCGCACATTCAATCGCTGCCCTCAAGCCACAGGGCCCTAAATTTAGGTGAAATCATGAAGAACATGCTTTTTGTGAATTTGTGAAGTGAATGTGAATGTGAAAAGTGAATGCACCTGCTCCGATCACCAAGACCCCCAATTTATCGGTGGCTCGTTGCCGCATGTACACAGCCTCCTCGTATTTCTTGTCGAGCAGCAGCCATAATTTCTGCGCACGCCAATCCTTGATGTTCGACCGCAAACTAAAAAATCTGGTTTATTTTGCCGACCCCAAGCATTTGAACGGTTTTACATGGGACATCCTCGCGTGCTTTTCAAGGGCTGTAAGTTCAAACAAACGACGCCATCCCATAACCAACTTTGCGATAAGAGTTTTCAAGGCCGGCGTTTGTTTGCCCGCGAAAGGCAAAGGGCTGAGAAACTATACGAACAGCGAAAGTATAAAGCTAATAAAAGGCGAGATTTATGAAATCAATGTTAAAATTTTACCTGTCATAGATTACAGGAGAATCGGTCGGGTCGAGATCAAGTGCGGTGCAGATGAGGTGGAATGATTGGAGGATCTGCTTGAAGCCGGTGGCGGCGACAAAATTGTCGAAAAGCGTGTACAAATCCGCGACAGCTTTAACCATAGTTTCGCTTTATTTAGGAGGAACAGTGGGTCATCTAAATTCGCAAAATCATGAAAATAGAAAACTGGAGGAGAGCAGAAGGTGAGAGACTGCCAATAAGTAAAGATCAAGAGCTGGCGGCTATTTATTATTATAGTTCCCCATCTCGTGTCCAGGTGTAAGGTTGACAGAAAAGAGCCCGCAGGCGAGAAAATCCGTGCCCGCAGGTCAAAGGCGCCTTTCACATCCCCCGGACTTTCCCTGATTTCACCCGGTCGGCGCGCCGCGCAAAAAAAATTCGGTCACCCGGTTCGGGTGAAGGTACCATTTTGGAGCGGGCGATTGCGTTTCAGCCCCAATCAAGCGAGACAAATAGGGGTAAATCGGCAAATAAATAGATAAATGTGAAAGCGATAAATAGAGGCGTTGAATGGATTGTGGCAAAAGCCGCTTGAAGGGCGCGAGTAAAGTGGTCGGCGTCCAGAGACTCGAGACCTAATGGTTATCAAGACCTCCGCATCCTTTTTGATAATTGGTGCAGCGGTGAGGGGCTGGGCTATGTGTTGGTGGCGGCCTTGGCGGGGCAACAGCCCCATTTTTGGGGTGGTGCGCGAAGAGGTGCTCCATAAAACACGGTGATAGCGGACCCGTGCGCGCGCGGGAACTGCTGTCAGTGGCGCGCGCTGGTGCGCCAGGAAAATAAGGAGCGTTCTTTTTGGGGGGAAGTTGTTGACCAGGGAAGAGAGGTGACATGCCAACTAAAGAAATTTAGCAATTTCAGATTTAGAGTTCAAATATAAATTTAAGTTTAAAACTTAAGTTCGAAGCTTTATTTTTGGAATTAAACTTCTAGAAGTTTTCACGCCACCGATGGAAATTTAGAAAACTTTAAAAATTTAGAAAGTTGAAAGCTTTTTCAGAAGTTTAAAAAAAATGGTACGTGCTACACCTATGTACGGTTGTCCGGAAGGTTGTTTCGATAAGGAAAAGCTGTGAAAACAAAAACCGTACGCGCTTTACCTATGTCAAGTTTCCCGTACAAAGGCGTGTTAGGGAGCGGGGCGAAAAAAAACATTTTTTTCTAGCTTTTTCTTGAAAATCACCAAAACGTGTTTTTCAAAGAAGAGTTTTTCAAGGTTTTCAGATCTGAGCGGCTAAAGAAACGAATTTTTGGTATTCAAAGCTAATCAAAGCGAATCTAGCCCAAGCAATTGAAACTGTTAAAAGAATAAAAACTTTCAATTGCGTTTTTTTTGCACCGAAAAGGAAAGCCCGGGTGTCGGGAATGGGGCGGCCTTTCGCGGCGTTGGGACCGGGTCCGTTGATCTTGCTCACAAAAGGGGTGGTTGAGGGCAAAAATTGTTGGCGGGAATCGAGGAAACGCCTGTCTCCCCCCACGGCTTGCGCGCCCGGAATACAAACAACGGCAGGGGCGCCCCCAAGAAAAGGTGCTGTTAGATTTGGCACCAGCTGGTCGAGTCAAAGAAGGGAGGGGGGGAGGGGGCATTCACGGGGGCGTTTTACGCAGATTGCCCCAGCCTTGACGATAGCAGCGAATGAGGAAAGAGGCAACTTTTAGGGGGGGGTTTGAACGATGAGGAGCTAGAAATTTAAAAGCGGGGCTTTTCATGGCAGTTAGTCCCTTTCCGCATGGATCGGTATGGGTACGATAATGATTTTAAAACCTTTTACGCCGTTTTTAATAGAAGAAAAAGCATAAAAAGCTAAAATTTTGGTTATTTGGCCAAAAATGCATCGGTATTATTAAAAACCTCTTATTTTTTTTTGTATCTGTCAAGAATTTTAGCGGGATTCAAAATCTACGAAAGACGTCGTAGCAAAATACAGTATAAGGTAAGAAAAGGTGAAATAAGCAAAATGAACTCGTTGAAAAATTAACAGCCTTTAAAATCAACTATCATTCTAGCTTTTACAACTATTTTCTAGCAATTCTAGCAATTTTCTTTTTTTAAAATGATTTTACAACTATTTTCTAGCAAAAAAACATCCACCACCTAGAGCCAGCGATGCCAACCATGAAACAATAGCGGAAACGCCTTTCTATAGGCTCGCGAATGGCCTAACTTTGCGGAGGGACCACGGGCGCCGGAGCACGCGCGCGCGGAAAATAATACCGGCGCGTTTTCGGGTGCTTGCTAAAGAGCCTTTCACACCACCCGCAACCAACCGAGCCTCCACGCATTCTGTCCAATAATAGAACGGCCGGAACGGAAAAAAAGGGGCGAGGAACCCGGGGCTTCATGGAAAGATGATTGCCGAGGGTTTGATACGGCTTTAGAAGGGTTGGTGGGTGTGGGGAACGCTTTTAGCAGCGCCGGAAAAAGCGAATCTTCGACTTCGGGGAAGGTTCTTTGAGATTATCGGGGGGCTTTTTCTGAGGATTCAGGTTTTCTAATATAAGTGAATAGGTGTTTCTAAATTATTTTTACTGTTCCTGAACGTAAAACGTTACAAATTGTCATAAAAAATTCAAAATTGGGGATTTTCGACCAAAACGGTCGATTTAAATCAAAATTTAAAAATTTTGGCAAGGTTTTAGGTAGTTTTTCCACTTAAAATATAGGTAAACTTTAAACACTGTATTAAAATACGTCTATTGATTTTATGGGCATTTGACTTTACTGACTGACGATTTAAGGACTGGACTGTTAGCGGGGGGCAAATTTTCCCATTAATTCCGTACGGGCTTAAAAAGAAATATAAACCATTTTATAGCATTTTACAGAGTTTTTAGATATAAAAAGTTTATAAAAAACCCGTAAAAATTTTCCAAAATTAAATTTTTTGTCTTTTTTGTCAAAAATGTATGAAAAACGAATAAGAAAGGTCGAAATTTTCGAATTTTCAAGATTTTTAAAAGGTTTGTTTAAGTTTCTAGCAATCAATAACTACTAAAAATACTATAAAAATACCTCATAGATTACCAACAGGTAGGCATCGGTGGAAAACAAAAGGTGGTTTCCCCTACTGCTAACCCCCCCCCGCTAATGGTCTAGTTCCCATTTATGGACGTATAATAAAAAATTCGGACTGGAGAACGCTTTTAGCCGGATCGGAAAAAGAGACTCAGCGATTTCTCGAAAGGCCCATTCGATAGTTCACCCCGGGTAGAGAGAGGGGGTGGCCGAATATAAACGAGGTGAGGGCGGTGGGGGGGGAAAGTGGGTGGCGTTCAAGATGGAAATGGAGGCAATTCATGACGGGAGCGGAAGGGGCGAACGATTCAAACGTCGCGATAGTAGTTTAAAAATCCGAGAGAACTATGGCACGGAAAAATAGCTGTGGCTGGGAATGTGGAAAAATTTTTTCAGCGCAAACTTTCCCTGGGATTCATTCTTTAATATAAATAGAGGAAGTATTACTAGACTTTTTTACTATTTCTAAGCGTAAAAACTCTTCAATTTATCATAAATTCTAGTCTGGCCTAGTTTAACTAATAATCTAGAAATGCCTAGTGACGTAATAACAACTATTTCTTTTAATCGTGTTTTTCGCAAAATTTAAGGAAAACTATCCAACAAACTTGCAAACATTTTTAAAATTAGAATTTTTTGGTTGATTTTGCGTGTGTTAACATAAATTTTGTAAAGTTTTTACGTTTAGGAAAAGTAAAAAGAGTTCCTCAAATATTATCACATTAAATACCCCCCCGCCCGATAATGGAAAGGAACCAAATACTGATAGAAAAAACTGGTTGCGGTTTTTTTGTTAGGGCCCCTAAGCCTGACCCTAAGCCAAGCCTAAGCCAAGCCTAAACCAAGTCCGAGCCAAGCCTAAGACGAGCCTCAGCCAAAATTAAGCCCATCCTAAGTCAAGCCTAAGCCAAGCCTAAGCCAAGCCTAAGCCAAGCCTAAGCCAAGACTAAGCCAAGCCTAAGCCAAGCCTAAGCCAAGCCTAAGCCAAGCCTAAGCCAAGCCTAAGCCAGCCAGCCAAGACTAAGCCAAGCTAAGCCAAGCCTAAGCCAAGCCTAGCCAAGCCTAAGCCAAGCCTAAGCCAAGCCTACGCCAGCCTAAGCCAAGCCTAGCCGCCTGCCAAGCCTAAGCCAAGCCTAAGCCAAGCCTAAGCCAAGCCTAAGCCAAGCCTAAGCCAAGCCTAGGCCAAGCCTAAGCCAAGCCTAAGCCAAGCCTAAGCCAAGCCTAAGCCCAGCCTAAGCCAAGCCTAAGCCAGCCTAGCCAAGCCTAAGCCAAGCCTAAGCCAAGCCTAAGCCAAGCCTAAGAGAAGCCTAAGCCAAGCCTAAGCCAAGCCTAGGCCAAGCCTAAGCCAAGCCTAAGCCAAGCCCGAGCCGAAGCCTAAGCCAAGCTAAGCCAAGCCTAAGCCAAGCCTAAGCCAAGCCTAAGCCAAGCCTAGGCCAAGCCTAAGCCAAGCCTAAGCCAAGCCCGAGCCGAAGCCGAAGCCAAGTCAACGCCTCCGAAGGTGATCTGATCCCAAGAAAAGCGGCAACCGTTCATTTCCAGGGTGAACGGGGGGCGCGCAGGCACCCATCCGTCGTCCCGACCAGTCCCCGCTATAATGTGCTATTTTTTGGGCGTCAAGCTGCCCCAGCCATCCCTCCTGCCTCCCCCGCTCGCTGACGACAGAAAAAAGCCGCTTGGCGTGCGGCACAAGCCGATTCACCCGCCCTGGCTACTTTACAGGAACCTCCAGGAAACGGCGGGCGGATTTGAGAGAGTTGCATTGTTTAGAGGGGGGTTTTCTTAGACCAGCTTAATAATTGATTCGCCTTTTTGTCTTGGTTTTGGATAGACAAGGAATTTGGTTGCGTAATTCAATCGGTACTCTATACCTTTAACAATAATGTTTTTTATGGTATTTTTAGTGGTTTTTGGGTGCCAGGAGGTTGTAAAAACCTTTACAAAATTTTGAAAAATTAAAAGTTTTGCCCAATTTTGGGCGTTTTTCATTTTTTTTGATTAAAAACCAAAAATATTCGGAATTTAAAGAAGTTTAAATGCTAAAGGTATGTAAAATGCTATGGATTACATCTCGTTATAGGTCGTTCG